CTGGGCGACAAAGGTTTCATCGCCCTCGCCTCAAGAAGAAGAAGCGCTATTCGCGAAGCTGCTCTGGCGGCAGTGCCTGAAGCTGAAAGAAGAAGCTGAAAGAGGAAAGCTGCGCCTGAAACTGCTGTGGTGGAAACTGTAAGGCTAGTAGGCTGTCGGTAGGAACGTAGTAAATAGGAAGTGGAGGTTGTAGTAGGAAATAGGAACGTATGTAGTTAGAGCTGACGTAGCGTATTTGTAGCAATTGACAGCAAGAAAAAGATAAAGACAGCAATGCAGTCCCAGCATGCATATGAATATCTCTGTTGTCTACACCTTTTCTCGGTCTGCCTGAGCTAATTAGACACGCAAAGGTGGCATGCTTTAGTTTGGGGTGCACAAGAAGCCCAAATTAGGAAACGGAAATCTGAAATTGACAAACAAAGCTGCCTAACCTTCATTCAATGTGAAGTGGTACAGTGTACCAAAAACACTACTCGCCGTACAACCATCAATTTCTCGCGTACGGAGACTTCGCGCGCGCGCCAAACGAGCTGCGCTTCGTAGCGGCTGACGCCGCGGAGCTGCTTTAGTTTTCATTCTTCGATCTTCCTCCAGCCCCGCAGATGTCCTCGCACGCCTCCCCCAAGCCCAGCCCCAAGCCTCACACGCCTGAAGAGCGTCGCCGCGTCCTCGACGCGCACAGCTCAGGTGGTGACCGACGTGCTGTAGCCAGTCACAATGGCTTCCCCAGGACCACGGCGGAGCGCCTTGTGCGCACTGGACGCGTCGAAGACCTCCCGCGCGGGGGTGCGCGGGCCACTAAGGTCACGCCCGAGATCAAGGCGGCTTTGGAGCTGTGGCTGGACGAGTGCTGCACATACACGCTCAGCACGCTACGCACCATGGTCATGAGCGAGTTTAATGTGCTTCTCTCTGAGGCCACGATTTCGCGCCACCTCGTGGCCATGTTCTTTACGGTCAAACAGATAAAATGTGTGAGCTCATGAGTATATTTTAACGTTACGGTTCTAATCACGCGTGCTATTTTTATTGTACGACAGACTCGTGTCGAGCCCACCACGTGCAATAGTGAGGTGAACAAGGAGAACAGGAAGGCTTTTGCCGAAGCTCTTGTCCGCCACAACGATGATGGCGACCTCGTGGTCTATTTCGACGAAACAAATTTCAATTTGTACACGAAGCGCACGCGCGGACGTGCTAAGAAGGGAAAGCGGGCTGTCGAGAAGCTGCCGCCTTCGAAAGGAGGTAACCTGCAGATTCAGTGTGCAGTGTCCTCTGCGTTCGGCGTGGTTGCGTACCGTACGCACCGTGGCAGCATCAAAATGGACACGAACACTGCGTTCGTGGAGGCACTGTACACTGAGATCAAGGAGGCAGGCGTCTACAAGAACGAGTTCGCCGACAAGAAGATCGTTGTCGTCTTCGAAACGCCCCAGCGCATTCCCAGACGGAAGCTCTGGTGCCTGCTCATGACGACCTCGTCCTACTGCGCCTCGGGCCTTACAGCCCGATGTGCAATCCAATTCAAAACTGCGTCAGCGCTCTCAAGGCGCACATCAAGCAGTACGTGGCGCTGATGCGCGACGAGATGAACCGCCCCCGAACGCAGCCTACAAGCTCCGGCCCACGCATCTCAAAGACCGAAGCTCGCATGCAGCTGCTCCAGCGTGCTGTGCATGTGAGCATGCCGCGCATCACGCAGGCGATGGTGCAGAGGATGGTACTTCACGCAGCGAAGTTTGTCGTCACGGCGATCCGCATGGAGGACATGAAGTACGGCGAGTAGTGTTTTTGGTACACTGTACCACTTCACATTGAATGAAGGTTAGGCAGCTTTGTTTGTCAATTTCAGATTTCCGTTTCCTAATTTGGGCTTCTTGTGCACCCCAAACCAAAGCATGCCACCTTTGCTTGTCTAATTAGCTCAGGTAGACCGAGAAAAGGTGTAGTTTTTTAGAGCCTCCGTTCTCATTTACGTATCGATGGCGTGTCACAACGCTGATGTCGTCGGAATGTTTTCTGTGGTACGAGCAACTTTTTTTGGACGAATTAATGTCTGTGAGGCTGTCCATACAGCTCTTCTAGCTGTCCTCCCAGGATAAAATGGATTCAATGTGATGTTGCGTGAACGTTGTTCGATGTCATCCGCTGGCGGGGAAGCGACGAATGTAGCGTGAATGTGTTCGTGACAAATAGTTGTGAAGCATCTCAGAAGTAAGACGGTGTACTAAACAGAAAAAATATCGACGTTTGCCTTCAAATCGAGGTTTTGTCGCACTACCTCAACTATCAAATTAGAGCACTGCCACCGGTAGGGGTCAAACAAGAGTGAAAATGACCTCGATTGGCGAGCGACAATGTTGCGAGGCAAATTTACTTTGGCTTGGATTCGTACCGGTTGCGGCAAAAAATTGCCGCAAAAGTAGGGGGGGAAGGAAAAGTAGTAAGCAAGCCCAGCCACTCGAAAATGCGCCACATTGACTTCTATACGCTACCCCGTCCCTCCCCACGAACTCTAAACATGTTGTTCATGGCATGCGGCGCCCTCGCTTCGATCGGAGGGCATAAAGGAAGGCAATGCGCTCCTGAAGCCTGTGCTTTCGACCACCACAACTCACCATACATGCTGTTCTTCGGAGTCTCATTGGCTAGCCGTTTACCTTTGTCGTACGCCGCGGGGGGATCGAGGTGGCATATTTGACTCCGCGATCCCCCCATTTTACACCGTGGGGGGAATATACTCCACGTTTTCTCAGACCGGTGCCGGCATGTAGTTGTACTGTAAAAACTGTAATTATGCCCCCTCCCTCTAATAGTGCCCCATCCCAACCTTTTATCTGAAAAGTTGAGTTTGATTCTGAGTTTTTCCTCATGAATTCCAAATATGTCACATCATAATCTAAAGGTTTGTATGTCGACTTACCAATGTCAGTGATTACTGTCAAATTTATTCTGTAAATAGACTTTTAACGCTAGTTGTATTTGGCGCCCCACTCCCTTTAGTGCCCCCCTTGTAATAATACCAGGGGGTATTGCTGCAATACCCCACGGGGCATAATTACAGTTTTTACAGTATTTTGGGTGGAAATATGACTTTTATTCGGCTTTTGCCCCCATTGGTGGCAGTGCTCTTAGTGCTATGAAAGGAGCTACACGCTAGCGGTTTTGTTTAGTGCATGTATAAATCGACAGTAAAGCTCAGAAGGAAATTATTCAACTTAACCCCAAATTTTTCGTCCTTTTTCAAAACAAAAGCCGGTGTCAAACCGGTGTCATGCTATTACAGTACAGTACCTACAGTAATTAGTCTGGCCCAGACTAAATCTGAATAGCAGATTTTTCAGTGCCCACAATTATTAGTCTGGCCCCAACAGTGACAGACTAATTTTGAATTCAGAATAATTATGAATATCTAAAAATATCCGTTTTTCAGTAAGAAAAAAACATTATTTTTGTGAAATGGTATGTTTATACGTATTTTCAAATATGTTTTTATAGTTTACCGATATTTATCGTGGCTTTAAGGAGAAATAAAGACGAAATTATCGCAGATGCTGCTTCTCTAACGGCTAGAGAAGGCTATTCAATGGGTTCGATGCCATGTTCACTCAGGTATCTATTAAATTTTCTAGATATCAGGTTCTGTGTGTGCGAGATCTGGTAAATTGGCTGCTGTCAAGTGCTTTTTCAAAAAGCATTGCCGGAAAGTAGGTAGAGATTGACTAGAATTGTGGTCACCACGACAGACTAATTATGAACATTTTTAGCCAGACTAATAATGAAGACGTTAATTTTTGCTCGACACGAATTAGTCTGACCCAGACTAATTTTGAAGCCAGACTAATGTTGAGCCCAGCCTAATTACTGTAGGCACTGTAGCGATACTTCCCAAACTGCACTTTGGCCATGACGGTCAATGGCGGGCAGTGCAGTGGCGCTGTAGGTCGATCGGCAACAGTACCTGCTATTCCTGATAGAATTTTCCGAAAAGAGCCAATAAAACTACACATGTTGTTTCGGGGACGGGTGTCATGGGCGTCAACACCTCCTCAGGACGAGTGAAACTAGGCGCTGCTGAGACTTGGGCTCAAACCCACGCACCATGCACGCAATTGATGAATCCGAGGCTTAGTTTAAGCTTCCCCTAGGATGGCCGTTTTACCCGCTGCCCCATACAAAACCAAGTGAGCAATGCTGACGATCGCGTGTTCTATTTTAGAGGGCAAAGTATTTGCAAGCGGCAATACTTAGTATCTAACAAAAACGATGCCTACGTAAGAATATAGTTTTTGAGGCCTTACCCCATCGACACACCAATATCTACACCATTTCAAGGTCAAATTGAGAAAATCTACAATCCAAACGAGAAACCGTACAATCAAAACAAGAAAACCTCTATGATTACGTGAAGCTCAAAACAGATAGTCTGTAGCAAACCATAAAATATTAAGGTTATGTCGCATTTGGACTCTATGCGACAGTGATCGGAGCCTCTGGAAAACGATAACCAGGACAGCACATCCTATTTTGGTAGCTTCTCGTTTGATTAGATGTTTTTATCGTTTCGATCGTTCAGGTTCTCATTTTGAGATTGAGATGGTGTACCTACTTCATTAAAATGATACAGTTTTATAATAAAACGAAGTTGTAAATAATATTAACTTCAAGTATCATATTGATCAAATACTTATAGATCTGCAATCTCGACTATTTTCATAACATATTTGATTCAACTATTTGAGATTACCTATCAATGCCTATCACTTGTGAATACCTACAACATTTTGTATGCTTCAAATAAAGCATGAAACAAAGTTCTTACTTCAAGGGTAAAATCATGCTTAAATTCCGGCCCAATCGTATAATGGGTCGAATAATATTTTATCAACGTTTTCGTTTCTGGGTTACCCAAGATCTTTAAAAAATGGCAGCAGGTGTTTTTTATAATAGATAAATGAAACTGTCGACAAGGTCTTACATCCGGCCGCAATACACGTTCATTCGTAAATATGAACCAGCGTATCCGCGAACTCAGACTTCTTCGCGCACGGGGAGCACAATGCGTCTTTGCCACCCTCGAAACCGTACTTGCGGCGCCGAACGCCACATTCCAGGCACCACATCTTGGTCAGGTCTTCAAATTCCAGCGTGTCGTCGCATCTTTGGCGTTCATGGAGACGAGGGGCACAAAGCTTGCCGAACTTGCACCTGAATGACTCCATAGTGTCCTTGCCGTCAACGCAGTACCTGCTAAGCATCGCGTGGCGGGCATTTTCAAGGTTAAGAACGCAATGACTGTAATGCACCTCACATATAAAAAGAAACACAGTACCTGTACCTGTCGTCGGGTAGCGGCAAGCCGAGTTCGCGGAGGTGTTTGTGGCAGTGGGTGCCCGTCGCAACAATCTCGCATCCCTCCGCTTGGCAGACCTTGTAAGCAAACCGCTCGAAATCACCAGCTGCGGCCTGATCTGCTGACGTGCCGTGCTCAGTGCAAGCAAGCACCCCATCGATCCTCCCAGTTGCGTGTCTTGAACACAGCTCACCATCCAGCAGCTTGAAAGCACAGATTGCGTTACGTAGAGAAATCAGCCCCTCCTCTCCAGCAGCGCACTTGAGGCAGTGCGTCTTGCGTCCGCCGCGCTTGCCAAACATGGCCGGCAACGCCCTGCTTCCATCCCCGCACTTGACACATCTCGGCCAATTCGACTCGTAGAAGGGTGTCAAGCGCAGGGTCTTGACGCAATCGCGGCAGTAGATCCGCTCGAAGCCTGGACCGTACGTTGCCGCCTTCGTGCATGGGATCTTGTCGCACTTGTCGTGGTGGAGGCGCTGGCAGTGCCCCTTCCCGGCACACTTGTCATTAAGACACTCAAACTCGAAGTTACTCGCGCGGCCGAAATCGGGTGGTCCGTACGACGGAGCAGGATAATTCCTACAAACAAAAAAGTAGGTTAGAACAATGCACGAATTGCAACAACGAAACCACGTCTACTGCAGACATCATACCTTCACGCACTGCACCGTCCAAACAGTGAGTTTCAAATTCACCAAGTTACCCCCCCTTCCGACCTTGGCCTCGCAAACGACACACGAGTTCGCGTTGGACTTGAACTTCTTGAAGAGACGCAAACGCCGAGTACAGTCTGTACAGTAGACGCGCTCGTTGCTGCCGATGGGACCGAACGTCGCGCTCTCCGTGCGCTTCTTCATCGGGCAACCGACATGTCTTTTTGACTGGCAGTGATACTTCTTGGAGTTGGACTTGGCACCTGGGGCTGTTGGGTTCATCCACTGTTGGATCCAGATCTCATTCTGGCAGGCGATCTTGCCCTACAGCTGGCAGGCAATCTAGCTTATATGTGCTATTTCATCCTGGTCGTACCCACTGGTAACGTTGGGCTGATTGCCAGCACCAACCTGGGGGGTGTCGACTGTCAATATTAATCTATTATGACAAGTGACCGTATAGTTTTGAACTTCCAGTGTAATCTTCCCTACCACAGCTAAAAAATTATCACCCATTTCCAAGTCAATTGAATTATAATTAAACATTTCAGAACTGTTTTAAAACACAACGACACCAGTACGACACCAAGTATTTTGTGTTGGAGCTACAAAAAAATTGTTTGGACGTAACCGGTGGCAGTAAACGTGCTGTGACGGCATCAATAGTAAAATTCTAGCGCATGAGTATTACTTTAAGTAATACTTAAGCTTTGCATCAAGACCTCACTTGCCGAGTAATATGAAGTAGAAGCAAAGATATGATCCGTTTTATGAAATACCTATACATTTGTGGGACAGAAAAATAAGTATTTTTTTAAAACTGTTGTTTTTTGTCCCCCGCGGGTAAATCTCCCCGAAATTTAATGCTACTGTAGTGGTTGCATGACTCATACAACCACTAGCATTAAATTTTGGGAAGATTTTCTCGCGGGGGAACCAAATCCATTTTTAAAAAATACTTACTTACTGGTCGTACGAGTACTATTTTCTTGGCAAATTTTGACATTTTAATTAGTTTGGGCCATAATAATTAAAATTTCAAAATTGAGGGAGTCCGTGGACGGCTGGCCGGCATTTTGACTTCGGTTGGCCGTAAAACAGCTGATTTTTTTCGTATCAAGCTATTTCTACATTTGACTGGTGATACGAATATTATTCATCGCTGGGGGACTCAATACCGCTTCCTTTAGCCACAATACTCATTGTCAACGTCAAGAGCAGTCCTTTTGGCTATAGCAATCGAAGCTAGAACCGCTAAAGTATTGTAGGTGTACTACAGAATTCTGCCCGAATAAGGAACGGGTGTACAACTAATAGCCTCACATATTTAATATTATTTTCCAGTCGATGTGGCGATAGGGGGATGTGCAAGGTACTGAGGTACTAAGGTGAAAAATCCAGTGCCAATCATCAGCTCTCCACCCTCGGTTGAAAAATGGCACGCATTTAGCGATCTTACTAGACTTCAAACTACATGTACCGTAGTCGTAGACTCGCACTTTTGCTTTTGCACCTCGCCCCACAAGCCCACCTCCTCCCCCACTCCACCCATGAAGTCCACACCGTCCAAGCGTCTCCGTCTCACTTGGTCTGAGAAAGTGGGCATCCTCGACAAGGTGAAGGGCTAGATAATCCCTACGAGGTCGACCAGTTGACAGCGCTGTTGTGGTGCGAGGATGCCTGGTCAAAGGTTAGTGCTTCGACCATACGCCACTGTTGGAATCATTCCGGACTCGTAGGTAAAGCTGTTCTTCAGTTCATTTTGAAATAACTAAATCAGTACATTGGTAAGTATACTCAACTTAACATCAATTTATATATTCTGCGTCTTTATATATATCAGGCGTTCCTTACTCGGGCAGATTACTGTAGCGGCACTGAAGTCATGTGGGGGAGATCTGTTGCTCAGTCCGATCTCGGTGGAGCTGTGAGACGGAGACACCAGAGCGACTTCAACTTGTAGCGTGCTGCATGGCTTGTTACGCTCCTCTAATCGACCAGCAACGAGATGAATAGCAGCGCTCAGTGGAACGCTGTCGTTCTATTGGGTCAACGACGTACAGGGTCGATAAGATCCGAACCAGCTCATCGGTGAGCTGGGCAACAACTAGCGACGGAGTGTATCCTGTGACAGCCAAAGCTCAGCCCGGCAGCTGGTGATTGGGTACATGTACACGGACGCCGAGATGCTCATGTGCCTGTCCGTTGCTCGAACACCAGCGTAAAGCTCAGATGGCTTCGCTTAAGGCTACCCATCCGGGAGCAGCGGAGCCCAAGCTTCATACTTTGCTCTCAAACTGATATTCTGCTAAGGCTAAGGCAACGGCCACTTTGGCGTTTAATGCCGCCAGCGGCTGGAGGAAGCCGCAGCCGAGTTGGCTTCGGCTGAGACCGGCGGCACGCTTTCTCGATGAATCCGCGGTGGGGCTTGCCGGCCATCTCTGCCACCTAAGACGTATCCCAAGGATTCATGCTGCGCCCGTCGTCGGGCAGCCTGCTCAGTGAGCAGTAGTCACCCGCGGCGTCGCCAGCGCTATAATTTTTTTCAGAAGATGCAAAACGCATCTGCTGCGAGTTGGTCGATGCTGCCCGCGGCCGAGATCTCAGCGGCTTGTGGCGTGCCGAGCCCAGGACGCGGTCTGCATCATGAGATGCATGCAATGAGGCGCATGCATCGACGTCGAGCAAGTGGATATTGCTGGCGAAACGATGGCCGCCGGGATTTGCCGGAGTGGCACGATTACGCGGCCGTGACCGAGCTCTGCAGAGGGCTTTTGCAGAGCTCGATTTGCCAAAAGCTGAGCGAAGCACGAGCTCGATGCACACAACAACGAGCACCCAACGTGCCATGAGGCAAATGGAGTTCTTGCCAGCAACGCCAAGTTGAAGTGGATAAGGCGGCGAAGCGGCTCTTCGAACGGCTGCCCCAAAGTTTAGATTGTACTGGACTTCAGTATGCGAAATTAGTCGACCGCTTGCACCGCACCCCCATCACTTTGGCTCAGTTTAACTGCAGCCCTCTTCAGCCCAGCGTGCCAACGCGCAAGTCCTCGCTAGCGCCGAAGATACAAGATGTGAGCCCGCTGAATGGCTTCTATTGCCCCCGCGCGAGGCTCCGTGGGGCGGAACCAGCCCCCAAAAGCAGAAATACGCATCTCCACCGTCAGCATCCATGCAGAAAAGCGCCCATTACAATTTTGGGCTCCACTCGTTTGCCATTCCACGCGCACAAGAACGCGGACGAAATTCACAACACGCGCCATCGCAGTGTAAACCACCGCCACGGCTTCAACGACTCGTTGGCATCGGGGTGCGTAAGTACGGGATCTTTCCGCTGCAGTGGCATAGAGGGTTTAATAGTAGTTCGAGTGCCACAAGCGGCAGTTGATCGGAGATCGATGTTGCACAGCGTTTGTTACAGCGTGTTAAGAACGAGCATAAAGAGTCCTTTAACGCCGTTCCTGCAAACTTTCTGTTTGTCCGTGTGCTTTCCGCGCGCCGCTTGCCCAAAACAGATTTTAGACAGTGCCCAAAACAGAGTAGATTGGGCGTTAGACTCCTTCGGATTACGCGGCAAATACAGTTCGGCGCTCGCCGTCAGTTCCAGAAGTAACTTGCCGGCCGCACACGACCAGAGGCTAAAAGCTGCTGGCGTGTGTCTGTGCAAATTGAGAGGGACACAACGCAGTGAGGTTTACGCCAACGAGCTCGGCGCGGCGTGGCGACGGAGTGAGCGCAGTCGACAACCAGCAGCAGCATGCCGAACGTCCAGGACGCCGAGGAGCTGCCGCTGCTCCAGAGCAAGTCGCGGCGGGCGGCAGTGCCCAAGAGCGACAGTGAGTGTCTAACCCCTGCTCCCCTTTCCCGCATTTAACACCACTTAAACGTCTCTAAACCCGTTTTGCCATCTCTGTCTCTAAACCCGCAGTGACTGACATGGATGAATACATTTGCTACGGCGACCGCGTTGCCTTCCTGTGCGAGGGGCAGCTCCTCGCCTTAACCCACAAGTTCAACCTAACCTACCAGCAAATGGCGCTGCTCGCGGCTTCCACGCTGGCAACTGGCGGACTCATGGGCCTCGCGGGCTTCTTCGTGTGGCGCAAGGGGCTTTTCCGCAAGCGATACGCCGCTCTCTTCGGCGACGACATTTACAACGAGGACGACCTCGTGTCCTCCTCCTCGCAGGAGCAAACCAATGTGACATACGACGTGCCGCTGTTAGGGGCGGAGCGCAGCAAAAGGCGGGGGTCTACCTTAACCTCCAGTCGCATCACTACCACGAGTGGCGTGGCGGGGGAACCGGATGCCCCCGTGGGGGGATCCAAAGCCCCCCACGGCTCAGTCGCCTTCAGACTCTTCGAGTTTGACCCCAAAAAGCAGCAACTGGTGTTCGCCAGCGTCGGGCTGCCCGTGAAGTTCGGCACGCCGCTCGTGGTGGTGCACGCGGAGACTGGGAGGGCCATCAGGTACCTGAGCCACCGAGGGGCCGTGACGATCAGTAAACCGCCGGTGAACTTGGCCTTCCACCGCCAGGTGCGTGCCAGTCTTTTCGCTATGGAGGAGTCGGCGGCGCACCTCAACCACATCAAGAGAACGAGACCCCAGTCGGCGCTCGTGGCGTCCAGCAACACTAGCAACGTTAACACTGGTGAGCTGAGGGCGACGGTGGCGGACCCGACGATGGCGGAGACGCAGGAAGAGGAGACGCCCGAGTCGGATTTTATTGTGGAGTTGGCAGACCAGAGTCAGGGGCAGCAGAGTCAGAGGCAGCTGCAGGTGCTCACCAGATATCCGAGGGGCAGGAAGCTGCAGAACTTGACGGCCAACAAGCACCGACCGCGCAGTCGCAAGCAGCAGCAGTCGGCGCGCTCCATGCAGTACGGCGCGCAGCGACGCAGCTTGGACATGACCAGCTCGACCGCCGCGGCCTTCCGCGCGGCGATCGAGGACCCGCGATCTCGTCAGCCGGCACTTTCTTACGGCGACGACCCGACTGGAACGACGGTCGTCAGCCTCAACGATGGACCGAGTGCGTCGTCGGGTCGTGGCCGCCGCAGGGCGTCGAGCTCGTCGGCTTCGGCCATTGCAGGCTCGGGGCCGAATGCGTTCTACCGATCCATCTCCGAGTCGTACATGAACATGGTCTCCGACATCTCGGATACGCTACAGCAGCAGCGCGACCGACAACGGGACCGCCAGGAGCTGAGGCGTCGACAGAAAGCGCTCATGAAGGACCTGCCCAACATGTCATTCAACAACCCGTTGGGCAAATACTACGTGGGGACAGTTGAGCCCGTTCGACACCAGATTACCGGCAGCAACTACCGTCTACCTGTGGCTCCAAGCGACGAGTTTCTGCGCTGGGGACAGCCGATGTCGCTTGTGGCTAAGTTCAACGGCCGAGCTTGCGGTATCCGACCGCGCGAGTATTACAAGGACAGTGATTTGTACCTGACGACGGAGGCGACACCAACGACCATCGTGCCGCTGCGTGAAGACGGCGACCTCAAGTGCATGGCCAAGGAGTCGACGCGATACCTGGCGCACCTGGAGAAGCGTCAGGTAACTTTGAGTGTCGGAACGTATAACGTGTGGATGCTGCCGCGTAAGGTGAGCGCGTTTACGAGTGTGTCGCCCAAGAAGAATACGCGCGCGAGGCTGATCGGCGACTTGCTGCCTCCGTGTGACATCTGGATCCTGACGGAGTGCTTCGACTACCGCGCGCGCGATATTTTGCTGGACAAGATGTCGGAGGCGGGCTACTTCTTTTTCTCGCCGACGGTGGGCCACAAGCGGATGAACAAGTCCAACATGCGCAAGCTGCTGAACGGAGGCGTGCTGCTAGCCAGTAAGTACCCGATTCTGAGTGTCCGGGTGAAGCTTTTCGAAGGCGCATGCGCTGGTGCCGACAAGTTGGCGGACAAGGGCGTGCTGTACTGCAAGATACTGAAGGACGGTCTGCTGGTGCACGTGTTCTCAACGCACTTGCAAGCCTGGAACGACCCGCTGTCGCGGACCATGCGCAAACTGCAGATGGATATGGTCGCGAACTTCATGCGCGCTATGGATATCGACGAGGCGAACGATGTGGTGCTGTTTGTTGGCGACCTGAACGTCAACTACTGGCTGAACAAGACCAACAAGGAGTACGACGAGATGCTGGACATCTTTGAAGCCAAGGACCCTTCAGTCGTGCAGCCTCGGAAACTCGGCAACGCGTCCGACTCTGATAAGAAGGAGTCGGCGGCGGAGTACAAGCACCTGCGCAAGTACAGCTTTGACCCGCGTGTGAACGCCCTGGCTGCTGACGGCCTGAGCAGCGATGGCAGTCTGGAGTTGCTGGACTACATCTTGTACTCGCGCACCCATCGTCAGCCCAAGTCCGCTACGAGCTGGGTGCTGCCGCTGACCACGAGGTCGCCGTGGATGTGGCGCAGCCAGCCGCACTACAACCTGTCGGACCACTTCCCCGTTGTGAGCGAGTTCACTTTCGAGATGTAGCTGAGGGGAGTTAGCTGGGTGCTGGTGGATGGATGTTCTCATCGTGAGAGCATCCATTCGCAACGAAAACAAAATCCTGAAGCGTCGAGTGTGAAGGAAGCCTCGAAATCATCGCCAAGGACGTGAGTGCAAGTTGCTTGTCGTGTATTTTTGCTATTTTATCTCAAGTAGATTATCGAATACATGGGGAAATCAATGAAATCGTTTAACAATTTTCTTTGGCATGTGCTGCGCTTCGTCAAGAACATTTGATCTTGCTAAGAACTGCTGGTTGCCTTGAATGCGGTGGTTAGTTGAAGTTGTAAGCTGGGAGTTTGCAGCGTGACAGTTTACACTTCCACTGGGCCTGATAGAGTTGAATCCCTTCAAGAGGTCCAAAACGGTTGTGGCAAACCCTGTGACGTGATGGACTGACTGCACGTGTGCCTTATCCTCATCAGTCGAACGTTTGCATCGTGGTTTCGCTCCGCACGTGACATGGGAAACGCTCTCTGCAGTGTACACTTCGGCGCTCCGAACGCTCGTCACTCGAGGCATGGGATTTGGTCGATCGAACTTGCGTCAACTTCGGCGCATCGGATTGCCACCACAGCGGATTTTCCATCCTGTTGTTGCTCCTTTTCCGTGCTCTATACGGAGCCCGTGGAGCTTAGCTGCCGCCTCCTGTGATTGCGCCTATTAATACGAGTCGAGAAGAGCAGTTTATGAGCGAGTCTTCGTCAGCCTTTCCAGCAGGTTTGTAAGGCGGGGGCGGACCAAGGCGGCTGGTCTGTCCACACGATCCGCCCTGCGCGCGTTGCTGGGGCGGAATATCAGTCACTCGCTGTGCTTTCATCATCCGACGCCTTCGGCCTGATCGAGTCTTCACTTGCCAGCGCTTGGACCTGTGGCTTTCCGTTAAAGCACCCGTTACCGTGGAGACGGTGAGCTCTTCCCGACAATTGCACGCGTCGGAGACATCCGGCCGCATTCGACCGCGCGAAGTTCCGTACAAACCGCATTGGTTGGGGCTGCACCGCGCATGTCAAGCCGCGCCCGGACTTTGGAGTGTTAGTAAGGCGCTCGCTTGACCTCTTTGCAGTAAAGAGACGATTTATAATAGAGGCGGGCGCCCAAACCTGTTGTCCGAGAGCAGAAACAACTGACCTCAAGTCGTTGTCGGGGGGGTGCTTTTGCCATGCTGGCCCCAACGCCCATTACAGGCAGAAAACTATCCATGGCGTGCCCTCAAGTCTACTGGAGAGTCAAGTGCGTCTCACGGGTTGAGTCAGGTTGACTCCAACGCAAACTTGGGGCGGAATGAAGCGCGGTCCGTTTCGAGGGCGAAGGGCGGAGTGACGCGGAAATCCGCGCACAACAACTCCATGAACTCACGTCGAGTCAACGGCTGAAGGCGACTTTTTCGCCAGCAGCGTAGCGTTCAATGCACCAGAAGCCTTTGGCTCACTTCGTTTGGCTATGAGTGCGGCCAAATGGAGACGAGAGTGAGCTTCAGTCGAGCATGCGGCATGGAGGACCAGCAAGCACCTGCGAGAAAATAATACAGCTTCTTTTTGTATCGAAAATGCTCAGAATTGCTTTCATTGCAACTTTTTGATAAAGATAACATGTTAGTAAACCTGCGATACTAAATGTCATACTAAACATTGTAAGTTTTCTCCGGGGCAAAATTGTGCGATTCCAACTGTATCCTTTCTGAATGAAGACCTGTATAAACACATAACAGACGTAGCAGACGTCGGTTAAGCTGACCGATGACCTATTTACTCGTGGCGTCGTGCTGCGATGGGGCGTTTTTCGTGGTTGATAGCAGTGGGCTGCAGTGCTGAGCGAATTTTTGGTGCATAGCGAGGGTTTGTGGACTGACCGTCGTCCCATCAAAAAGCAACTCAAACTCAAGCAAGGCCTTGTTGCGCTGTGCCTCTGCCTCCGTCACAACCGAAAACGCCACGCTGCGCGCTGAGGCATTTGATCTTCAGCAAGCTCCTGCAGCCTCGCGCGTGTGTGAGCTTTGTGGCCCAACAAGAGGAGGAGGAATCAAGTCGGAAAACGGGAAGTGACGGCCTTCATCACCCGCACTGAAAAAGCGTTTAGGCCGTTTCGACGGGGAGCACAACAATCGATTTAGGTGGAGCAGGTTCCCTCTCAACGTCCCAAGTTCCTCTCCAGCAAAGCAAGTTCTCATGAGCAGTCCGCCATCATTCCGCCGCTCTCGACTCGAGCGCGCCAGCAGTGCAGACCTGGCGTCGTCGTCGCTGTTCCGCCGCTTCAAGCCGAGCAGCATCAAGACGCCGACCTCCGAGCCGCTCGCCGCCTCTCAGCCGCCGCCGCGGCACTCGCACCGCCGCATCCTGTCGCGCGACCGCCGGCGCCCCATGGTCATCTACTACTCGAGCAACTCGGCCGACCTGGTCGACGACTCGAAGCTCACGTCCACTGTGCGCAGCCTCGATGCCACTGTGTACACAGATGGCGAGTTGTCTGAAGACGAATTGGCCACGCCCAGCTCCAAGCGCTTCGGCTTCGGCGACGACGACCGCTTCGACTCTGACGGGAAGGTGCCGGACTTCGCCGCCACCGCCGGCCCACGAGACACAATGGGCCGCAGCCACAGCCGAGGAGGACGCGCGCTCATGCGCATGTCCCAGACCTTCAGCCGCGCCTCGGAGCGCATCGACACGCACCATGGCGAGGGACGTCGCCGCGCGGCGAGGCAGAGCGCCAAGTACGACGTGACGTGGCGAGAGGACGACGAGAGCGAGTGCTGCCGCGTGTGCTTCGCCATGTTCACGAAGCTGTCGCGTCGGCGCCACCACTGCCGCGTGTGCGGCGAGCTCGTGTGCGGCGCCTGCTCGCAGGACCAAGTGTCTCTCACCGACAAGTTCTCCACCCCGAGACGCGCCTGTGTGGCGTGTTGCAGTTTGCTGCAAGCCATGGCGTGCGCGGGAGACGACCGCGTTAAGGTAGTGGAGCCGGACGCGGCAACTGCAACGCCCGTCAAGAGGCACCACCAGTCGGCGCCCGCGGCATCTTGCCACTCGCCTGCCGGCAACTCGATGCCCGCGCCCGCGGCAACCCCTCGCTACCGCGACCGACTCACGGAAGTGCACCGAGTCATGGCGGCCGGCAAACTGTCGCGTCGTCGTGGCAGCGCTGAGAAGAAAATGTTCGTCATCTCCAGTCGCTGGTTGCGCACGTGGCTGGCGTTCACGTCCTCGGCCAGTTCCAACTCGAGCCGCAATTTGGACTACGGGTTTGAGCCGGAGAAATCGTCCTCTCCCCCCAACGGCAAGAGCGACAAGGCCGCACCTGGTCCCATTGACAACTTGTCGCTGTTGGAACTGTCCCGTGGCAAACTCGTGCGTCGTCCGGGTCTCATCCGTGACGAAGTTCTCGCTGGTGATGCGGCGAGCTCAGTCGAAGATGCCGACTACCAACTGCTGTCTCCTGAGGTGTGGGAGGTTTTCCAGCGTCTGTACGGCGGCGCACCTGCCATTTACGTGAATTTGACCAGCGACGACCCCACCGAGTGGATCGTTGACGTCTGTGGTCTGCTGGCTTCGGGTACCAATGCCAATGGCACGAAGGTGCAGGTGATTCCTGCGGTGGAGCGAGCGCTGACTACGCGTCACCACAGCGAGAATGCATTCGTCGAAGTTCGAGACCCACGATCGGGCTCGAACCCGGCCTGGACCCCAACGGAGTCGCCCGTGAACAGTCGATTCGCCATGTCGAGCTCCAAGCACCAGCCACCCAAGAGTCCGGCATGGACGGCCACGAGCAGCAGCAGCAGCAGCTCGTTGAGCGAAGACAAGGAGCAGCCCACGAGCAGCGGCAGGATGCAGCTTGAAGACTTGGAGTCGGACGTCGCGTCGATGTCCGTCGGGGCGAGGAAAGCCTCGTCGGAGGAGCACCTGGCTGAGGATGACGCCCGATCCACGACCTCGATGCGCAGCCCGACCGCCGCGCTGGCAGCATCGGCCTTTGCCGTTGCTATGAAGCAGGCGAGATTGAACGCCCAGAAGGCCATCGACGACCGCGCTTCCCGCGTCGTTGCCGCCTAAGATACTTTCTACATGTAGAGTATTAATCCAGATCGAGGCAGGTCTACCAAACTTATCTATCAACAAAGCATGCATTGCACTCTTCGATTTGTGGGGCTCGTTTTGACGTCGTGCCACACAGCCACCAAGCAAAAACCGTCGGGAAAGTGGCAACTTCAACTTGCTCCATACAAAACGCAAGTAAACTGATCTGACAGCTTGAACTAAGACTATGTGGGTTGAGTCTATTCTTGCTCATTTTCCCTTGCCTTCACTGCCAGTGCGGCCTTCACCATGGTGTTGATTCGAGCCCGACGCACGAAGCTGGCGTCAGCTGTGCGACAAGGTGATCATGACGATGCCTCGAGCACTCGGCGGCAGGCGCATGTCCGAGCACGCCAGGACAATCGACGTCGTGCCGTACTGTATGATGTGAGCTCGCCCTCTGGGAAGCGCCTACCCAGTGTCAGTCTTCAGCCCACCGATGCTCGAGCTCGACGCGATTTGATGCGCCTCACGCAGATGGAGGACAAAAGAGTGGAGAGCGACAAGAAAAGCGCCTACGAAGACGAGCAAAACGACTGCAAACACCGCGAGCATCTGAACTACAGGCCGCCTATGGATCATATTCAAAACTTGCGAGATTTGCATACAACCGTGGCCAAAGACTGCCGGAACAACGTAAAACTTACCCCCGAGCAGCGAATGCTCGCTAAACTGAAGCAGAAATTCGCCTCAAAGCAATACGGAGAACCTCCGACTGGCACAAAACCTGAATGGCGTCTCGGGTACAAAAACAACATCGACACTGGGTCTCGTGCCGGGGTGAATGGCACATTTGAGCCGCGCGATGGCGCCCGAGAACGGATTCTGGACTCTCAAAGCGCTACAACATTGCTCCCTGGATCCGTAGCGGTCGCTTACCCTTTGAAAAAGTCGAAGATTCCGGTAGAGCTCATTTGGAGAGAACGTGAAGATGAAGATGATGATCAAGTTGAGCTTCCTAGTTCGGCTGGTTCCGACGTTGATAACCAAATCGACACTATCGAAGAGATGAAACACGAGCGAATTGATACCGGTACTCCACAGCGCCGCCGAGTCATCAAGAAGAAACCGTGGTGTCCAGCGTCCTCCTCCAAATCGCCGAGTTCATCAAGCCTTCGAAGGCGCTACCCGGTCGAACGCTTCACTCCACCGAGTTTTGATAATATGGTGAGCAGTCCGGATCAAGAGAACGAGGGCAGTCCTGCTTTGAGCCCCTTCGATCACGACGGACTTCAACGGTTTCCAATACGTAGCGTCGAACCGTTTGAACCGATTGACGAGGCCCAGGAAGAATTTGTGGTCGATACACGATGTGCGCGTCGACAACAAACGCTACTGACTAAAGTCGCTGATACGTACGCGCGGGTCCGAGCGCGGATGGACCGCATGAAAGACCCGCACTTGCGATACGAACTGCCAGTCGAAGATGCTGCGCAACATCCTCGAGCTTACCGTCTTGGTTTGGACGTGCCTTCGACTGCGATAAAGCCAACGAAGCGTAAGGAGAAGTTGAAGTTTCGGCCAAAATCTGCCGGTACCAGTTTGGGCTTCCAAACTGGTTGTCTCGGCCCTAAGGGAGGCGACTTGCTAGCTCCCGAACGTAATGGAAGTGGGAAAGTTGCTGGAGCAAGACGCAGACCTCATTCCGCCAGTATAACGTACTTCAGAAACTCGACAGTTTATTGCATGGGCCCTGCAACTCCATCCAAGTCGGGTTGCGTCTCCGCTGCTACGGATTTTCGCAGTGTCGTCGATGCCGAGTGTCGAAAGAGGCATTTTCGAGCGAATGACGCTTGATGAGTACATGAGCGCGTGCGGCTGTCTCAACACGAACATGACACCGCCGTTGACAGCGTCGGACAGGAAGCAGCCCGATTCTCCCCACTCTTCGCCCATTAGAGAGATCAAGCGATTCAGTACCAACCTCACTAATACGGAGCTGATGGATGCGGGCGCAGCTTCATCGGTGGATGCGTCGCCGTCCTTCATGGCAACACGAAACGCACTGGCAGTGTCGAGGCAGCAATTTCACTTAGCACTGGAAGCTTTCAACTTGTCTCCGACCGACGTGAACTTGTTCTTCTCGGCTCTGGACGTGACTGTGAGCGACCGAGTGCAAGTTTGGGACGCAATGTGCTCTGTAGAAACTCTGCAGCACGAGCACACGGCACTACGGCGTGCGCGCGTGCAACAATTGCAGGCGCCACCAACGAAAGACCTCGAGTTCTTTCGCAGACAAAGCACTTAAACTAAACACACGGTCATTGGGACATCATTTCTTGCATTTTTGCGTTGTTGTGTTCCCGGATTCCTACGGTGGAAGCTTGGGTAGCGGCGTAGCATTGCGACCTGCGGCGCCGCGTATATCCCATCGCTTCGAGAGGTGTGGGATTCATAAACCTGATTGAACATAGACTTCCGCTGCTCCTGAGAGAGAGAATGTGTGGCTGGTTTCAAGCTGCTCGTCGACGTTGAGACCATCATAGCGCCACTCGGAAGTTTTTAATGCGGCAAGAACCTAGTGCAGCGAGAGGTCCAGGCGGCTGGCGCGGATGAAGATGCCGTGGTTTGGAGCACAGCTGAAGTATTTTTCTCCGTCCACGGTGCCGCTGTTCTTGCCCTTTTGCTCGCAGAGCTCAATGCCCACCCACGTGCCCGTGGCAAACCGCGTGGTGCCGATGTAGCGCACCACGCCTGGTACGTTGCCGACGTTGATAAACTTGCCCACGCACAGAGGCGCGCCATTGATGTACACCACGTTGCTGCCGGAGTGGCGACGTGCTGTGGCACGGTTGGCACTTCCTCTGCGAACGGGAGGGATTGAGCTTGGTTCTGTCGCGCTGGGAGTGTTGGAGGCTGCAGGTGCCGTAACCTGCACGCCGTGCATGTCCCCCGTTTTCGGGAGATACACGTCCGTCAGCGAGTGCAGCGACTCGCTTCGAGCACGACTGAGTAGTGGAGGGTCAACGCTTGCCAACAGAGAAGGCTGAAGCCCGTGCTGGGCCTCGGAGGGCTGTTTCTGGTTTCGCTTTCGCTGCTGTTGCTGTAGCAGCATCTCCTGTCGGTGTTGCAGGGAGAAAGTGTTGATCGGAAGAGACCGACGACGAGGTCCAGCAGCTGCAGCTCTGCGGTCTCGCTCTGCTTTGGCAGCAGCTTCCATCGCTTGGTCACGCGAAGTAGAGCGCTGGTACGGCATCGGAACCGGGAGATTTTGGGGATCAAAGAGGACGACACATTCGCCTCTCGATGGGGAAGGCGTCTTGCTTCGTGGACGGATCGCTACAGGACTGGGGTTGCCATCGCTTTTTCTCCCTGGACTGCGCTCTTTGGGCGAGCTGCTCCCGTCGCTGGCATTGCTACCGCTGCTAGCCCTGACTTTCGCTTCATGCCAAAAGGACTGGATGCGATCAAGAGGCTTGCTGAGGTTCAGAGTCGGCCTGCTAAGTCGTCGAAGTTTGAGGTGGAGTTTCGGCGTCGGCGATGAAGCGGGGCTTTTGGCTGTCGAGCTTTCCGTTTGAGTCTGGTCCTCAGACTCAGCGTGCTCTTGGTTCGACGTAGTGCTCGGAGGCGGTGTCGTCTCCTTCATGGACTTCATGGCGCTCTCCATGTCTTGAATCAGCTCGTTGTACGCCAGGACGTCGCTGGCGCACGTACTGGCCTGCCGACTGAAGATGGAGGCGTCAGAGCGGCTTGACAAGTCTGAAAAATCGTTGGCCAAGTCCGATGTCGTGCTCATCGTGTGCGTAAACCCCTCCGAGTCTCGAACCTTGCCCGCTTCGGGGGCTTCGTCCGAGATGCCGAAGTAGTACAAGTCCCAGAGCTGCTTGTCCATCAACTGCTCCTGCTCGCCACCAGGACGCAGCCCGAATGACGAGGTGGACGGCTTGGGGGCAAGCGGAGGGCTTGCAACAGACCTGGGCTTGGGCGGTGAGCTGTCTCCCTGGGTCGGGATGTACATGGTGACCCCGCCGCTCCTTGACACGATCACTTTGCTCGACTCGCCGTCTTCTTCTTCCTCTTCCTGCTGAGTCGCGTCGTCACGTTGGTCGAGCCAAGGGACGGCTCGACACGCCTCAACAAGGTCGCGGGGCTCGAAACGGGTTCGGCGCTGTCGTGCGCGCTCCTGCATGCGACCCATGAAGTCGGCGTTGGACTGATCCGCATGATCCTCGTCGTTATCTTGCGGCAGATCCGGATCGCGCACCTCGTCGCCGGAGTTTCTGACACCCACCAGCTCGAGGCTTTTGCCGCCCTGGTGCGGCGGAACCGGCACAAACTCGAGCGAAAGCTGCAGCAGTCCGGCGTTGTTGCCGGCGAGTGGCAACCAGTGCGGACTCAGCCGGATCACCTTGGCCCCGCTGCCGTCGGCCGCGTCTTCCTCGTACGCGCGCGCCTTAGACGACAGCAGCAGGTCCTCGAGCGCCACACTGGCCGACCCCACGACGCGCTCGCCACACATGACGTCGATCTCGAGCTCGCACTCGCTGGCCTCAACGCCGACGCCAGCTCCGTCTCCAGTCGCCGTTTCTTCGGGCTGACCCAGCGCCCACGCAAAGTGTCCCCCCATTCCGTCGCGAGCCCCGTCTTGAGCTTGACGCCACACGGGGCTGCTCATGTTGCCTGAGATGTTGCACGGAGACTCCTGCACGGCCCCAAGCAGCGTGCAGCGCACACGGAGGCCGTGTTCGTCGTACAGGGCGTCGGTCAGCGGCCACGGGGCCGAGAGCTGGCGCGCTTCGTAGACCCAGACGTGCAGCTCGCCTTCGGGCACGCTGTCACTCAGTCGGTCCACGGCTTCGTCGACGGTCGAGGCCGTGATCAGGACAGACTCATGGGACGTCGAGCAGGACGTGCGCGCGCTCTCGAGCATGGGCAGCTCGTCGTCTTCGTTCGACGACGCGTTGGACGGTTCCTGCAGCGGCCGCAGCATGGCCGCCATCTCGTGCGTCAGCGGGTGCTTGGGGCTCAGTGCGAGGCCGTGCACCGCATCGCGGATCCAGTCGTCGGTCTCCGCCCCCGTTCCCGCTTCCGTGTCAATGCCGACGGTCTCCGCTCCCGCCTTCGATCGACGGTCGCAGCTGGCCTGGTGTTGCACCTTGGCGTCGGGCGGCCGGTTGGCCTCGGCGAGGGCCGCCTCGTCGTTGTTGCTCACGAGCATGTGCTCCCCACGCCGCGAGCTCGGTAGTGGGCCCTGCTGCGCTGTGCTGCCCGGCCTCGAGCGCCGCTGCCATCGTTTCCGGGAAGTTACTTCCGAAGAATAGCCGTCCGTCGTAACCGAGCGATCGATTCTGATATCGGGTTATGGGGCTGAAGTATCCAAGGGCGACTTCAACGAGCCGTGGCTATGTCGCTGCGCGCAGAGAGCCGCGCGCAAAACGCTGCAGCGTTTTGCATTATGAAGCGCGCAGAGGCAAATTTGCCGCCCCGAAACGAGGCCTGGCGCAGCAGCAGAGAGCTCTTTGGCGGCGCCGCCGACGGCATGGACGAGCATAACGGCTGCAGTCGCATGGGCCGTAGTGGGTGCCCGGCCGAGAGCGCGCGGCCGTGGCGTGCGGCGGCTTTCCCGCACCGCCGCCGTATATCCTACGCCAGCAGCGCTCTTGTTCGAAGTATGCGGATATCTTTCCAGCGTAGCCAGATGACCCTCCTTTGACTTGGATTTGCTGGTCAAGGCAACCTGCAGCCCTCGACGATCAGCTTTGGGCCGCGCGGCCACGGCGGCGAGCACTGCGGAAGGCCGGCATCAAGTCGATTGCCAAAGAGGCAGAGGTTCGGCGTGATCTTTTGACGCTCGGCCCGACTGAACGCCATCCCGAGCGCAACGTATATAGTGTGCGTTCAACACGATCAACTGGATAAGTAAAATAGCCTTGATGGGTCCGAGGGTGGGTGGTTTATCGTAAGCGGCAGCAAACGAGAGTACGCTGCATTGCATTGAGGGCGTCATGCAGCACTCTACGGCGAGCTCGGCGAGCCTCTATTAGTTGCGGCAAGCCGTGTAACCGAATGGGGAGCCGTGGTTGACGACCACCTATGTACATGAGCGCCGACTTCAACTGTGCTCACATTGCGTTCTGCGCGTGTTCCGGCGTTTTAAATTCGGCCCGACGCAGCCAGCCTGGGAAACATCGGCGATGGTGGCGCCTGCTGCAAGCCCCCACGGCATGGTGGCTGCACTGCGGTCGTCTCGCTGCAGAGTGCGTCGTTAGACTTGAATGCCTGCACACCATGTCAACCTGTCGGCGCTTCCCGCTGAAAGATACTTTTCCTCCGCGTCCGCTCGGCTTGTCTTTGCGCGCAAGCAAGCAGCGAGAGCTCCAGTTGCAACGTGGGGCCAGCGTGCTGCTCAAGTGCTGGTGTATTTACTGATGAAGCAATCTTTATTTACATCCCTTGTTTGCCATCGGAAGACCTGCTCCGCTCCGAGCCATGTAAGCTGCAGTCGCTCAGCACGAGCTGCACACGTATCGAGATAATAGTGATATTTGCATTGCGTCCAAGCAAACAAGTCCACAGGGCAGCCCCCTGGTCGCTGAGTGTCGCCGAGTCCCACCCGCCTGAGCCAAGGTAGTTTCAGCCTCGGTCCCGAATGATGACAACGATCCTATCCCTGCAATAACAATGCGTTGCTTCGGCGCGGAGCGATCGAGTAGCAAGTCCACCGAGGGCAAAGCTCCCAGCAGAATTGTCTTTCACAAAGCCCAACACGATAGGCGACCCGGAGCGAACGCTCCGGGGGAGTACACAGGTCGAATTAGTCAAAATTTAACCTCTGAAACTGGTATTTACCAGCAATAATGGCTCGATCTCAGCGAAACATGTTCAAATCGCAAGTTAGTTTTGAATGCGAGCCCGACTTGGAGCCATTTCTGTTAATAAGGCTTCAGAAATCAATTGATGAACATTACAGTAGCAAGATAACGTTCTTGGCAAGAATGAATAGTTGCTAAATAAACCGTTTGCTGACAGTCGACTAAGTCGAGTTCTTGAACTACGTCAAGAAGATACTGAGGACGACCAGTGTTAACAAAGTGGCCATTAAATGCTCTGGGTCGGAGCAAAAACTTGGAATCCACTCACAAACTATTGAGCTAGGCTAGCTAGATATACACGCAGAGAGAGAGAGAGAGAGAGAGAGAGAGTGAGTTAAAGCTACTGCAGAACCCTGCTGCTATGAATTTTGATGCCACTATCGTATTGAGTGGGGAAAGTATCCAGAGAGTGCCTGGTGCGCCGCATGTGCGGCGCACCGAAGTCGCTTGCAATGCGGATTAGACAAGTCTGGACGAGCTATTCCAGCACCCGCGAAGCCTTAGTAGTCAATCGTCAGAGTTTCGCGAAATGAGCGGCATTTGCTCATCCACCAGGTAGATAGATCGCTCTCTCTTTTTATTTTTAAATTAAAATTTACGCAACTCATCGCTTTGTCTACATTCGAACCAGAGCTCGTTATGGGCCAGAATGCCACCTATAATAACATGCAGGTATCCAAATCTGCAGTGAAGACAATATTAACACCCTCCTTTGCATGTTTAGCGAGCATGTCTAATGTGAGACGATGTACTAAGCTTTCAACATTTGAGGCGTACAGCTTACGTAGCTCGAGCTAGCAGACATGATAGCACGAGATATTGACAAGCGTTGCCCAGCTATAAAGTATGCTTCAGCGGATGCATAGCGTAGTTTATTTTTGAAATCCTTAGCAACCTTTCACAAAAGTAGTAATAACTCGTAATTTCTAGTCTTACCTATCTCAGACTTGTCCTTGATTTTAGTGCTAAATTTAGCAAACAACCGCTGAGCTACAGAGTAATACTTGTAGCCATTCGTAGCTTTAAATGTAATTGTTTAGGTTAACAAGTACTATTTTTCGGTTAGAAAGGTACCCGGTTTCGATAAGTTACAAAAAAATTCTGCCGGCCAAGCACAGCTCTTCGACCTGTGAATAAATAACTTTCCTTACGCGCCTGTCAAAACTTCTTATACTACCCCCTTTATACGCTCGCTGGCTAAAAACTGCCTCATACAAAATTCCACGGCGGGTTCGAGCGCTGCGCTCCGACTGAGACTGTGGCCGTCGCTTTGCCCTCGATCTCCCGGAAATCATCCAGGATGCGCAGCAGGTCTTGCTGCACTTGTGTGCTGCTGGGTCTGTACTTGGGCTTGTAGCTGGTGCATGCGTTGACTAGCTTCACGATGCTCTTCGGGCACGCCGGCGACAGCGTCGGCGTTAGCGCACCCTTGGCAATCAGCTGCAGGATGTCAGTCTCGGGGACGGCCGAACGGTTTGCCTGCATCAAATCCGAGAATGGCAGCTCGTGTGAGTCCATCTCGGCGATCAAAATTCCGAACGAGTAGACGTCGCTGGCGTCCGGGTACGACGAGCTCGTTTCGCGGCCCAGTAGAGCTTCGGGTGAGATCCACCGCCCAGAGCCCACCGCGCTATACGACATGAGCTCCTGCTCCGTGAGGCCATCGGCACGGCCATCGACGCCATAGTCACTTAACTTGGCGCGCAGCGCATGGTCCAACAGCACATTTCGAGAGTTACAATTCCCATGTACTAGACGTGGATGCATCGAGTGCAGGTAGAGCAGCGCCCTGTTCACATCCAGCAGCATATGTACTTTCTGTACAGACCACTTGCCAGCTTGACCACTTGCCGTGCGATGGAGCCATTGTCGGAGATCGCCTTGAGCCATGTACTCCGTGACAGCGACCAAGTGTGTTTCGCGAGACCAGGCCACGCCAATGAAAGCCACCACTTGCGGGTGCGAAAAGATGGCCTGACGCTTCAGCTCTCCTTTGAGCTTATCCCTAGCTCCACCACCATTGCCATTTGATGATGACCGCGGGCCTTGGTCTTCCTTGGGTGTAATATACTTGGCCACCACCAAAGTGCCAGTAGTGCCCCCGCCAGGCGAGACAGCTGCAGCGGAATGCTTGCCCGATGAATACGACGCCAGCCAGATCTCTCGAGGGTTCATCGCGCTTGACACACTTTGTTTACGAAGCGTCTGGCGCTTCTCAGCCGGCAGCAGATTGAGGCCCTTGATCATTGTGAGGCGCTGGAAGTCCAACCGCCACGGCTGCAGCTCCTCGTCCACCCAAAACCCAGCGTTATTGCTGCTGAAGGGCTTCTTGTCCTGCCTCCGATGTACCCGAGGCGACGGGGTCGGTGGCGGGGAAGTGCTCGAAGCGTTTGCCGTGGGGCGGTCCCTCTCACTGTCGTTTGTCGTGTCGACGCCCATGTCCTTCGTGTTGTCTACCACACGAGGCACCGCGCCATTCCCGCTGCGATACCGCTTGTACGTCAGCATGAAGAAGAAGAAGAGCCCCAGCTTATACAAGAAGTAGACGAACGGCAAGCCCATGCTGAGCATCACGAGCGTCGATGTGTCGTGAACTGCTGAGGACTGTGAGCCGCTGCCCATTGTTTCGTTGCTGCCTTGCGTCCGACTTTCACCCGACCCGGAGTCTGCCGAAGTCTGTAGCCGCCGAGCGACGGCAACTTCATCAGGGACAACGCAGACCTGCCATCCACCCAACCTCTGCACGCTGCCTGCTCTTACGTCGGTACACTCTGTCGTCCGCGCTTCAACCTGTTCCGCTTCTCCCTGCTTAATAACTAAAGACCCGCCCGTGAGCCGAGCGCTCAGCAACTTGAACTGCTGCGCGCTGAGCTCTGGCAGCGTCCGCGTCTCCTCCAGTAATGTGTTGTTCATCAGCACGAGCGTCTCGAGCTTGGGTAGCGCCAGCAGCCAGGCCACAGGGATGCTGCTTAGTGCGCATTCCACGATGCGCAGCTGCGTGAGCGTCTCCGGTAGCTTGGGCAGCCTGGCGTTGGTCAGGTCCAGGCCAATAAATAGCAGCGCGGCCAGCCGCTCGCCCGTCCAGAGGCTGGCGGCGTCGAACTGCACGCGCGTCTTGTCTCCCTGCAGCGCGAGTGTCCGCACGTCTGGCGGCAGCTCCACCCGAGCCCCGAAGTTGTAGTAGCTGTAGTTGCTGTCTAGCGTCACGCGCCACTCGCCCGCGGTCTCCGTCTGGGTCAGCGCCAAGCACGCGCCGTCGTCGGGCGACACGAGGCACAGCGGCGAGCAGCGCGCGGGGGGGCAGTCGCGGCCCGCGACCCACTCGCGCGCGAGCGAAGGCGAAGACAGCAGCGTCACCATCGCGACGAGACCCGCTCGCCTCCGTCGCCTCCGCTGCATGGCACACAGTACACGCGCGTTCACAAGTGGCGTAAGTATCGCGAGGCAGCCCCAGCAGACCGGGACCAGCAGCCAGTTCCGGGGCCGACATATGGCCCTCGACCAGTCTTTCTTTGTCATGCCAAAGTAAGACATCAAGTTACCTGCTATAAATAATCTTTTCGGTTTGGGAAAAGTTGGATCGTGTGACACTATAGAGGTGCCAAGAGCAGCATGAGTCTTCACATCGTTTAGGTTGAGATAAGGGTGTGTATCTACTTTCCAGGAAGCACATGTATCAATATGAAAGAGGTGCGAAAGCAGAGGTGACTCGCGCCGTCTGGTCTGATGAACGTCGCCAACGAAGACTGGAGTGACTCGCTCCGAGCACTCACGTGGGGTGCAGACGCCTCCGCCTTGATGTCGGAGCAAGTTTGCGCGGCGTGCGTCCTCCGGACTGGGAAAGCCTCATAGAGAGCGCTGTGACTGTACGGGAGTCCTATCAAGACTGCCCTGTGTGCTCGATTGCGGCCAAGCTCCAAAGATCAGTAGATTGGTCCGCCGCAAAAGTGGGCTTCCGCGCCCCCAGCTGGGCGCAGCATGGCGTGGCGGTCTCGGTTTAATTTGCTCACGGGCGGCGCGAATGCACCTCGGGACACCCAGCTGCGGGCAGCGTGCGTGGGGGCGCACAGAGCTCTCCGGCACGCGCCGATGATTTTGGCGACAAGCACGCTACGGTCCGCAGCCTGCGGATGCAGTGCCAACGCGTAGCAGCGACAGCATGCCGTTGCTTCTTCAACCAGCTTACGAAAAAGCAAACCCACATTTGTCCACATTATCCTTATTAGTGAGCACGACGCAGTGCTGTATGGAGGGCTCGTGCCTATAAACGGGTAGAACTTACATGCAGTTGCGAGCGCGCGAGCGCTGCGGTGCTGGACGCATTCAGAGCCCCAGCGGCTCCGCCTCGACTTCCTCCTCGCGCTTGACGTCGGCGGCCTTGGCCGACAGCTGCGGCGGCTCGTGGTCGTCGCACTGCGCCATCCACTTGCTCTTCACCGGCATGATGTGGCAGTTGATGCGCATGACCTTGAGCCCCTTGGTCACCTCCAGATCGACCTGCGTCCAGTTGTTGCGCTGGTCGGGCATCGTGCAGATGTGGCCCACCTTGGGCTGCCCGCAGCGTCCACACTTGTACAGCTTCCGATTCGCATCGTCGGTGCCTGTCTTCTTGCTGCCCAATGAGGAGGCAGAGGTACTCGCGCTGCGTCGCGGCGGCGACTGGTGCGGGTTTAGATCGGTCAAGCTCGGCTCCTCCGGAACGGAGAGGAACCCCAGGTTCATCTGGGACATATCCATCGACAACCCCGACGAGCGGTTCGCCCCGCGTCTGCGAGCCGCAGCTCGGGGTGGCAGGTTGCTTCCCAGCGATGATCGCCGAGCGTGCAAGGAGTGCGCCGCTCCGCTGGCAATTTGAGGCGGCACCTGAAACTGGAACTGCTGCATATTCGGCTGCATACTCGCCTGCATGTTGGGCTGCGGGGGCGGCGGGAATACTGTCGGGTCCTGGAAGCTGGCGAACGGATTCGGGTACCCTTGGTTCGGGTTCATGTTCTGTTGCTGCGGCACTTGCTGCTGCTGCTGCAACTGCTGAACCTGTTGCTGCTGCTTGGTCTGCTGCGCCAGGATGCGGAACTGGTCCAAGTTGTGCAGTAGATCCACGGGGTTTGAGTGGTGCCTCGAGTGGTGGTTGACCGGACGCTTGCGCTTCATCTTGAGCTCGTTTACTCCATCTTGGATGCGCTGAGAGCGGTAGGCCACAGGCGACGCCCCTCCAACAGGCATCCCATTCCCACCCGTCGTTGCTGCGCTTACCATCGGCATCTGCTGCTGCTGTTGCTGCTGCTGCTGCTCGGCGTTGAGCTCCGACCACGAGAGTTCCTTCAGGAACTCGTCCATCTCTTGGAATGACTCTCCCTGGGGCGTCGCAGCGCCTCCGAAAGGTACAGGGCTGACCTGAGGCTCCGCCTGGACGGGACCGATAGGCATCATGTTTTGCTGCTGATGGAAGCTCATGCCGTTGTGCCCCATGACGGGCGGGGTGATGACACTGGGCGCCATGTTGGCCATGCCGAAGCCCTGCAGCTCGTCCGGATTGGAGCGCACTCGCTTGTGCTTGTGCTGCGGCGCCACGCGGTAGTTGGGACCCACGGCCGCCGCTCCGTTCGAGTTGAAGGAGAAGGTGAGCGGAGTGAGCAGGTCCTCGCCCTCGGACTTGGGCGCCATCATGTTGGTGGGCGAGGAGCCGGGCACGTCGCTGTCCAGCAGCATTTGGTCGTCGGGCGCCACGAAACCGCCGCCGCCGACACCGACACCGCCGCTGCTGACGGGCGCCGTGTTGCTGCCGCCGCCGCCGGCACTCATGGAGCCGTCTGCAGGCGCGTCGCCGCCCTCCAGGAAATTGTAGTCGAGCGGCAGGCCGTCGAAGAGGTCCAGCGTCTGCGCGTCTGCCATGGGGAGCGACAGAGAGAATGCTATAGAGGTCGAGGACGGGATGAGGGCTCGGCTTCTCTTGTTGGCCCTCTTGGACTTTGCTTCGGTCTACGTGATTACAGTTGGGGAAAAAAAAGTGAAACCCGGATACAGCCGATATCCCGACCAAAAGTCCCCACGTGGAGAGAATCGGTTCCCGAAGGGTTTCGTACTTAGCGATTGGTGTGCACTAAAATCAACAGCGCGATTGAACGACCGTCTCACCAAATTTCTTCAGGAAAATGCATATCCTGTGACAACTTAGAAGGGACAGGAATCCTAGCGAAATCTGCAGACGATCGTATCCGGAAAATATGCGTTCTTCGAGGAGAGGCGTTGAGTGACATGTAAAGTAAGATGATGGCCAGGTACGCCTATCCGGACCGCATCGAGTTTGACGAGGCGCGCACCTAGCCCTGATCTACCAGCGCTTCAGCTTGATTGGGGTGTGCAACATGGCTGCATTTGCTTGACGGTGCACCCATGTTAACCAGAATATTTTAATATTTTGCGGTATAATATAATATAACATGTTATATTAATATTTTGCGATATTAATTGAAAAACACCGATATTGTTTGATATTCTCGACATTAGCGAGCTCATCCGGCGATATCAGATACCCTGATAATATTTTGACAGGTAATACTCTAGAACAACTCGACGTAGCGATGCAGCAGCTGAGTTCAGCTAAGGAACTTCTCGACTTAGAGTGGTTTAACTTCGAACTGCTACAGTTCTACAGCGCTGAATAAGTTGGTGGCTCTTCAGCGGCGTATATGTGAGGCAGGTGAGTCTCGCAAGATAGATCATATAATATTTACTTGAAACTTCGCAGGCGAAGCTATGTGCATCAGGCGTAGTCAGGCGTTAACCGAAACTAATACAAACACAGCGTTATCATTTAATGAAGAAGTATTCATATACTTCTTCTTACTCCACTGTTCTTCGTGTAATATTCCTGGATTACCCAAGATGCGCTTTATCCTCTTGGGCTCTTTTCTAGAACGTAATCAAATTTTAAAACTGGCGTTTGATTGGCCAATGCGACGCATAATCATGTGGTAATATCGAAAAATATTAAAATTAAGTAAATATAAATATAATATAAATACAAATATCATTTGAGAGAACGAAGTATTACCACATATTTACAATATTAATCCTCCGACCAGGTAATATTCTCAGTATAAATACCACCGATTTCGGGGTTAACATTAACCCCTGGGTGCACCACTGCAACGGCAACGAGAACGACTTGTTCAAGCTGGCAGCGGACTGCCAACACGCCTCCACAAAGCCCCGCAAACGACACTTTCTTTATACTTTCTTCCTTTATACATACCTATGCGGGAGAATTAGCGGGGTGCTCTCTGTCCTCACACGCTAAAGCGCTTGTGAGTGCGGGAACGCCATGGTCGGCGCGCCGCCGAAGCTCGAGGGGCCCATCTCGTACGTGACGGTCTCCGCCGGCTGGTGCTCAACCGGCTGGTAAAAGCTTGGGTCCAACGCGCCAGCTCGTGCAGGATCTTGCAACAACGCCTGCAACACGCATGCGATCGGCCGAAGGCTGTCAGCAACCAATGTCAAGCTCAGATGCGTCCTCTCAGGACGAAGCCAAGCCGCGCCGACGAAGCGATGCCGCCCGTGATCACTTCATCCCCAGACGCTGAGCGCGGCGCGGCGGGCGGTCTTCTTAGAAAAGAAATTCACTCACCTGCAGGCTCAGCGGGCTCAGCTGCGACGCATCCTGTCGCGGATACGGGTCCCACATGCCCGCACCATTGGCGCCGGGCTGCTGAGGCTGCTGGGCTTGCTGTTGCTGGTTGTCGGCTATCCGCGGCATGCCGTCTTGATCGATCTCGCCATTCGAGGCGGGGACAGCAGGCTGGAGCCAAGTCTCGCCGCCGTTCTGCTGCTGCTGCTGGTCGGTGTGGTGCGCCGGAGACGCGCCTTGGCTTGCAGCGCCAGTGGAAGTCTGTCGTTCATAGTACCGCGGGTCATAGCCATTATTGGCGACGTAGTCTTGACCCTCATACTGCTGCGGTGGGGCATAGGGCTGCTGAGCGTAGGCAGCCGCGGCATACAAGTTCGGGTCGCCACCGGGCGAATGACCCATGAGCATACCGCGATTCTGCTGGTACGGCTCCGCCTTCAAGTCTTCGGTGAGCATGGCGACGTGGCTAATGTGCTGGCCCTGCTGCATCTGCGCCTGCTGCTGCATGAGCTTTTCGTGGAGACGCATTTGCTGCATCTGCTGCTGCTGGTCAAGCTGCTGCACTGCCTCCGTGTTGTGCGCCTGCAAGTGTTGCTGTTGCTGCAGAAGCTGCAACTGGCGCTGGCGCATCAGGACCGGGTTGTTGTATCCCATAGCAGCTTGCTGCGCGGCAGCAGCCTGAGCCTGCTGCTGGTTCTTCTTGTGCTGTGCGTACGAGGCCGCTGCCTTGCTGGGGTTCTGCTTCAAGGACTTCCAGCGGATCTTCACCGAATCCTCGGTGCGGCCCTTTAGGAGCTGAGCAATCTGCGACCACTTGTTGCCCAGCCGTGCCTGCGCAGTGAGGATGACCGAATCCTCCTCTTCGGTGTAGGGGCCCTTGTTAATCGCCGGGTCGAGGTGGTTCTTCCATCGTTCACGGCACTGCTTGGGGGTGCGTCCTGGGATACGCTCTGCGATCTGACCCCAGTTGTTGCAGCCCTGTGTCACCAGGTACTCGAGCACTTGATCCTCTTCAAACGACCAGTGCCCCTTCACTAGACCAGGCTTTAGCACCTTGCGCCAACGCTGAAGGCACTGGGCGTGGTTACGTCCGGGCACCAGCTCGGCAATTGCCTTCCAGTTCTTCTCGCCGTGGATTCGCACACTCTCACGAAGGGCCGCATCCTGGCTCTTGGTCCAGCGCTTGGTCGTCGGAGCCTCTGGGTCTTCGACGGGCTCAGTGTTTCCATTAGAGTTCTCTGTGTTCTCCCCACTGGTTGCTACCGGCGTTCCTGCGTCGGAGCGAGTGCGCTGCGTGGGCTTCTGCTCGCCTTCAACAAGGGTGCGGCTACTCTCCGGGCGGTCGCGCTTAGCGGCGGACACGTCGTCGTCCTGGTTCGAAGTAGAGGTGTTGTTGTCGCCCGGAATGAAGCCCTTCTTGTTGATCTCCAGCTCGCGCAGGTTCATCTCCGAGTCAGCAATGTGCGAGTTGCTGAGCAGTCGCCCCACCTGGGAGATATCTTCCTTGGAGATCACCACAGACGACGAAGAAAGCGAGCGTCCGACGACAATGCCATCGGCATTGGGCATGCCAGCCAAGTGCTGGGCCGTCAGCTTGGGGCCATTGGTCTCCTTGCTGCAGGTGGCATCAAAACAAGGAAAGAAAAGAGGTTAGCTTATCAAGCCGTGTGTGCACCTGACTGCTATACTCTATGCAAGGCGATCGTACCCATCGGGGCCCACCACCGCGTTGAAGGAGTGAAACTTGTTGGCTCCCCCGTTGAGCATCTTGACGCGGCTGGCAGCTGCAGCACAGAATAAAACATCGAAGGAAATAGAAGTTAGCGCGCTGTTGAGGGGGATATCGAGAGGAAGCTGGGCGCGCGAGCTCGTACCGTTGAGCGCCTGCTTGCGCTTGAGGTGCGACTCCATGTTCTGCTCCTCCTGCGCCTGCACCTCGGCCAGCTTGGCCTGCTGCACGAGGAACTTCTTGCGCAGGTTCAGGATGAACTTCTTCTTGCCCTCGACGGTGGACTCGGCCATGGCCTTGATCACGCGGAACTGCTTCTCGTCACGCAGGCGGTCCACGTAGCGGCACAGCTCGGCGCTCTCGCTCGGAGAGAGGCCGCTGAGCGCCATGAGGAAGAGCCGCGACGCCTCGGCGGGCAGCGACTGCAGTAGTTGGGCCAGCAGGTCGCCGAAGTTGTCGGCGGACGCCGAGTCCGTGGGCGGCGCAGGCTCCGGCTGGTTGTCGGTCGCCGTGTCCGCCATGCTTAGACTGGGGTGCGGTGTGTGTGCGGGGCGAGTCGGCTAACAGCGAGGGTCGCTGCTGGGCGAGTGCGTGCGTGCGCGGGCGAATATTGCCTTTTGCCGACCAGCGGTCGTTCTCCCCTTTTCGGTCTTGCCCCTCTGCAGAAAACCTTCCGCTTCGAATGCCCGGGTAAAGTAGATAACAGCATTTTTGATTTTTCAGAGGCTTTTGATAGATGAGCTATTAACAAAAAGTACGAAAACTGGATACCCCGTCACTTTCGTTTTGCTTGTCGAGAGACACCGCGGTCGGAGCGCTCTCGGCGCCACGCGCGCCGCGGCGTGCTTTGTGGGCACTTCCGCCCTGCGGCGTCAAATGCTGCCACGACCGACTAAGACAGAGAGAAGAGTACGGTGGCGCCGCTGGACGCACCACCGCCCTGTGGCTCCAGCGTTGCCCGCCACAGTGACTCTGGTCCATCCCCTTCGACGGCTTTCTTTGTGCGGCGCCCTCCTGTGGTGAAACGATGTTCACTTGGGCAAAGTACAGAAATCTGCCTCAATATCGAACGGGTATACAATATTAATACATAACCTCATTTAAATAATACTTCCAAGGTCCAACAACAGGACGACGGAGATGGGCAAAGGTACTGATGTAAAAATCCAGGATACCTTTGGCTAAAAGTACTCGGTTTGAAAATTGGCGCCCTTTTGATTGTCTGTGCGATTTTCTCTGTATTTATGATTCCACTTTCACATTTGCGCACTACCCGCTAAGCCCTCTACGAGTAGTACAAAGTAGAGCTACTAACCGCACTGATGTGGTGCGAACACGCTTGGTCGAAGGTCAGCGCTGAAACAACTCAGCACTGCTTTACTCGGGTTTGATTAACTAAGCAAGCGTCAAATCCCGTCTAAGATAAATTAATTCAGTATAGCCTTTTCTCTGGTAGCGCTGAGACCACTTTATAAACCTAGAGCCCATATATATATCAGGCGTTCGGTATTCAGGCAGAGTTCTGTATGCCGCGTGTGGCAGCGCTGCCAGCAACGAGTTGCCATTGCCAATGAGGTTTGCGTGCTCAAGCCGACCAAGTTGCCAGCTACATGTACCAGGTAGGTCATATTGCCCGCCGCGCAGACGCCGGGGCGTCCTCAATCGCGCGCGCACTCTCCTCCTTTTTTCCGGCCTGACAGACAGAAAAGTACGGCGGAATAAGCTTTTCAACACGTAACGTAGCGCTTCGAGTATCCAGGCTCGCCGTCGTCGCGCCGCGCGGTGCCGGTGCAACTTTGCCACGCCTCAGCTCGCCCAGCAGCTTCGTTGCCAGGCGGCGGCAGCAGCAATGCTGGTGTAGGTCGGTCTGTTGGGACCAATGCCTGTAGCTGATCTCATCGTTGTAGGTACCGCAAATGTATACCCTGTTCCAGTAAGCAGACGCTCTTGTGGGAGCGCTGCGATCTCCACTGGCTCTGGAGAACCTCAAGGGCCAAACCAAGACGAGCTGTAGAGTGTGGGGACCTTCAGATCTTCAGTCTGACGCTCTCCCAACCAAGCGCGCAGTATCCGGTGGATGCTGTACATGTATCCGGATAGTATCCGCTGGGCTCTAATCAGAAATTTTGCCGTTTCCATAACGTGCGTATTGTCATATTCATTTTAAACTATAGATGTACTCCCTTTTCCTAACTACGAACTCCTAATGTATTCACGTTTTTGTAGTTCCCAACACTCCTGCTGATTATTTGCCCAATGTCTTAACGGGGTGGTGATAGACTGTGCTTCTACAGGGTACTGTGTTGTACAGCACTCCTCCATACTTATTGCTTTATTACCCTGTACTTGGCCCGATCGATTTTCACAGGCTGCACTGGCTTGTCGCATAGGGTGGACCTCAGATTCAGGATCCTCGGGCCAAGCAGAACTCATTTTCGAGCTTGACGCGGAAACGGTTAGAGCAAGATGAAGCTTCCTGCGTGCGCGGCCGCGATGGCGCTGGCCTTCGGCGCGGCCCACGCGTGGACGTTTGATGCCTCGGAGGTGGCCCCGCCCGAAGACATCGTGGGCGAGCACCAGCCGCTGCAGCGCTCCTGGACCGTGTCCAGCTTCGCGCAGCTGGAGCAGCTGTACCTGGCCATCCCGGGCCGCGTGTTCGTGGACCTGGACCCTTCCCTGCTGCCGGCCACGGAGGCTCCTTCGACGGAGTCCCCTGCCACGGAAGCCCCCTCCACGGAAGCCCCCTCCACGGAAATCCCCTCCACTGAAGCCCCCGTCACAGAGGCCCCGGGCGTTGTCCCAGGTGAGACACCCGGCGTCGTCCCCGGCGTCATTCCGGGCGTTGTGCCCGGCTTCGTTCCTGGCGCTGTGCCCGCCGCCGGCTCGCTGAGCGGCTCCGGCTCGGAGTGGAACGACACCAACCTGGCAGGCGACACGATCGAGATCCCGACCATGATGCTGCGCAAGCACCACCACAAGCACGAAGACGACGACGAGCAGCAGGGCGAGGAGACCGTCGTGGCCAAGATCGTGGTCACCGGTAACTCGACCGACCTCCTCAACATGATCGAGGCTGCACCTCTGCACCCGCGCCGCAATGACGGTCTCAAGCTCCACCTGAAGAACGAGGACGCGTACGGCGAGGGCTACGTGCTGACGCAGATCTACCTGTTCGAGAAGAACCTGCTGCGCCGCGTAACCACGGCGTTCTCGGGCGACGTGGTGCTGAACGAGAACGTGGTGACGCTGGACGACGCCGAGGCGGACGTCAAGCTCGCGTGCGTGGGAGACGCCAACCTGTACCTCGAGTCCAGCTCGAACGCCACCTTGGCGTCGCTGGAGGTGGAGGTGACTGGCAGCGGTCTGGCGCAGCTGGAGATCCCCTCGGTGAACCTGGAGAGCAGCCTGGATGTGGAAGTTGCTGGTAGCGGCTCTGTGGCTCTCGTCACAGACGCTCTGGCGGCAGGTGAGGTGAAGACTACGCTTTCCGGCTCGGGCAACATCGTGGTGGATACGAGCGACCTGGAGGCGCAGAAGCTCGATGCGTCGGTGTACGGCTCTGGTATTTCCAGCTTCGCTACGGCGGGTGCTGTGGACAAGGAGACCTTGACGTTGTCGGGTCCCGGCCAGCTGCTTGCTGGCTCGATTGTTGCGCGCAAGTCGGAGGTGGACGTGTGGGGCGACGGTGACATGTTGGTGCAGGTGACCGACAAGCTGACGGTGTCCACATCCGTGTGGGGCAAGGTGGGCTACGTGAACGCTCCGCCTACGGACGTCAAGATCAAGGGTTGGTGGTTCTGGCGCGAGGCCAGCTCTATCGTATACCCTGCGGCGGTGAACAAGGTGCTGATCTACGAGCCGGCGGCTGTTCCGGCCAAGTACCCGGTGTACTATTCCATCGAGACGGCCGAGTCGGCGTTGTCGGACGACCCGGACTACGCGTTTGTGTCGGCTGAGCCCTCCACGCTGGTGAACTTGATGACCACGTCGCTGTCGAGTGTGCAGCAGGCGGCCGGTGCCACTACAAGCGGCTCGAACGGCCTGTTCTACGCGTTTGTGGGCGTGGGCGTCGTTGTGGTGAACGTGGCGGCCGCTCGCTCGTGGGCGCAGCGTCGCGCGCGTCGCCACTACACGCGTCTCCTGTAGGCAGACGGCGCGCAGCGGCACCGTAGCTAGGTCCCGATCGGATAGCGGTCGGAGGGCTGTAGTTTTGAAGAGCTAGAGGCAGCGACCGAGTTGTCGAGCAGTGCAGTGCAAATGTCACGTGCGTTTTCCAAAGTATCTTTTCTTCAACTTTTCTTCAACGGAATGTACGCCACACCACTAATGGTGGTCCACTATAAATCAGACCGTGGGTTCACATTCTGAGAAAACGGGAAAGGGGATCTGGACACTCAGTGAAAAGCAAAGCAGAGCACAAGACGCAACGCAGCACAAGATGGCCCTCACCGACGCAGTTTTCTCCCCCTACGCCGCCGCCAAGGACTTCGCGCAGGACATGCACCCCGTGATGCTGGCCGCTCTCGTCGCCGTCGTCGTGGTCGTCAACGTGGTCGCCGCCAAGTCGTGGCAGGCGCGTCGCAGCCGCCTCGAGTACAGCCCGCTGGTGTAGACGCTATCTATCCTCCATCTGCCGACCTATCGAGGCCCTCGGGACCCGGACTGTTCAGGCAGGAGACGCTGGTGCAGGCGCTTACAGGCCCAATACGGCCCTCATACGCCAGGCTGGGCGAGAACTCGTAGCTCCGTCCCCGTAACTAACTCAATCAACGTCGGAGCTTGTCTATTGTCTGCAGCTTGTCTGCGTCGTCTTCCATTTGCGTGCATCCATCAGCAGCTTGCTCGCTGTTTACCCGCACCCGCGTGAGCCTGAACACCAGCTGTAGTAGCATCATCACCAACAACCGCTTACTCGCACTCCGGGAATGACGGTGATCACTTTTATCTGTGCAGGCGGCGAGCTCTAGTGCTCTTGCGAGTCTTCACTTTCCTTCTCGCCAACTAAACCGCAAGCGTCCAGCCACACTGCCATGAGTGCTGTCGCTCTGATCGTCGGAAGCGTCCGCACCAGTAACAACGCGGAGCCTGACATCGGCCAGCTGATCAACGACTTCCGACGAGGTTCGACGCCATCGCCAATTCCGAGACCAACTGGGGGCACCCCGGGCAGCTCAAGAACCTCCTCGATCACCTCTACACTGAGTGGAAGGGCAAGCCTGTGGTGCTCGTAACATACGCCACGGCGGCAGCAAGTGTGCTGAGCAACTCCAACCGGTGCTTAGCGGTGGTTTGCACATGGACGTTGTCGCGCATGTCGGAATTACTGTACTCATGGAATTCATCCGAAGCTCCGACCGAGTTGGTGCTGCGAACGCCCCAGAGTTTCTAACTGAATACGAATCGAAAGTGGATGAAGCGTTTGCATTTCATTTCATTTCATTTCATTTCAAGGTTGAAGTTAGATTGAGTTCATTTATCCTAACTAAGATAACGACCGACGCATCCACCGTCAACACCGAGCTCATATCTCCCGATGCCCCGCCGAATAGTTGAAACGGTCTACTCGACTTCCGTCGATTTGGTACCGCGGACAGCGAACGCGGTCCCGCTGCTCCTTCAGCAGCGCCTGCCCTCCGAAGCTTGAGTTCTCCACTGCATTTTCCTGGGCCGACTTGCGTTCCTTCTTCCCAATGTGTTGCAGGCCACCAGCGAGCGCCCCAGCAGCGCTTTATGCGGCGACGTGTCGTCACCTTCCCCGAGTCAGCCGTATCTGGGTCTCTGCCACTGCGATTTTCTTCGCCCCGCCGCGCCATGAGTGCACCATGAGAGGACCACCCCGTCGCAGCCAGCTCCATGTAGCGCAGGCCACGTTGACTGACAGCATGCTCCCGCGCGTCACTACGAGTGCTGTGGAGGGTGTGCGCACGTTGGAGTGCCGCACACCCGACGATCTGGTGACCTGCCAGTATCGCACGCAACCTTTGTAGGCTATGACTACCAGGAGGGCCCACGGCGTCACCCGTGGCCTGGTTTGTAATGGGAAACGGCGCGATGGGCTACATGTAGACCACCGTGGACCCCCCACAGGCCCCGCCTTCCGGCTGACGGTCAAAAGACCGCCGCAATACGCCCCGCACGCAGCGACGCAGACATTCCCAGCCGGTCCACGGCTTCACCCCCGAGCTGCCCAGCCGTTGCGTGCAAGCACGCCGGCCAGGTGCATGCCTTTCGCTGGAGCTCCGGTCGCCAGGAACGACTGGCTCCACAAGGGAGTCGCCGCCGTCCAGTCGTGGCCAATCAGAGCGCTCTCGATGCTCACCGGCGCGCTCTGATTGGCCGGACCGCTGGGTCAGCTGGCTCTATCGCCGCACTGCCCGCTGATTGGTCCTCCCGGCGACTTGAGCTCCACGGCGCAGATTGACGAGTGGATGAAGGATGAAGCGTTTGCGCTGCTTCTCAAGAAGCTGCAGGGAGGGAAATACATATGTAGTACCCTGCACTCAGCTCCTAAAATTAACGTTTTTGGTGAATAAAAGCCCTTGGACCTGAAGAGAATAAAAACAGCTTCTACGCCACAGACGCTTCTCGTTCTCCCTTGGTCCCCTCCGTTAGCCCCTTGTCTGCGGTGACCGGTGGGATCATTGCGAAGTGCATCTCTCGCATCACTACAACGTAGAAGAAGGTATTGACCGCCATGACAGCAGCCAGCGTGAAGTAAAGATACTCCATGTGGCCGTCGTTCAAGTCCGTGGGGATGTACTTGCCAAACAGCAGCACAAACACGGAGAGCAGTGTGCTGCCCATGGAGTTCATGAAGAATCCGAGAGCGATAGACATTCCGCACAAGCTCAGCGGGACCTCCGTGTAGCCAATGTTGTAGGTCGAGATCTGGATGAGTACCGTTGCCAAGGACACCCAGCAGTACTGGGGGACAGCCGTCCACCACGGGATGTCGCTCATCGGTTGGCCCCCATCGTCATTATAGATGTACTGGGTATCTCCATTCGCGTCCACGTACGTCAGCAGTGGCGAGTTGCGCCGGATGATCTCGAAGCAGCCAGTCCAGACCATCGCGATGATCGCCACAATGTAACCAGCAAGCACCTTTCCATATCGACTCGGTGGTTTGCCAGCGAATTTCTCGTACAGAGGGTAGATCAGCTTGTCCAAGAGCGGCACGAAGAGCAGACCCGAGAAGGGATTGAAAATCTGGACGGTGGGTCCTGGAATTTGACTCGCGTCGGGGGAGCTGCCGAGACGCACATCCGTTTGCTGGATAATTGTTTGGTTGTTGCCGCGCTGGTTCTGGCAGACCCACCACATCATGTTGAAGGCGTTAAAAGGCAGGACGCGGATGACTTGCTTCATGCCTCGAATCGTTTCGGGATCCAGTTCGACTCCGAGAGCGTCTGTGGCACCTTCGATGAACGAGGAATCCCTAGCGAAGTAGACGTAGATGATCGTGGCGACGACCGTCAAGACTCCACACGCGTAGGAAATGTTGTGGCCGATTTCCCCATGATCCGCCAAGAATGCCGCTGGGAAGTTAAGCAGAAATGCAGATAGGTACATGACTGTGCCCAGTAAAATCATCCTTGCCTGGAAGTTGGTCTTGGCGCGACGAACAACGACACGGATCACACTTCCGAGAGCGCTTCTCGTGGGTGGCACGTCCACGTAGCGCTTGCGAGTGAACAGCATGACTCCGACGAAGATCAGCAACACGAGGAGGCCGACGAGGTACACAGCCACGAACCCATAGTCAGCGGGGATGGCGCCGAAGCCGTGGATGGCCAACGAGGGAAACACCGCATAGCTGAAGGAGATGCCGATCCGGGAAGCCCAGAAGTTCAGGCTGAAGAAGCTTGCGCGCTCGTCCGGAGGCGACGTGCTCGAGAATTGGTCGCCACCAAATGAGACCGTCAGAGCTCGAAGGCACACTTGGTTTAGCGCAACGCCACCGAAGAGACCAACGCAGAATAGCGCCTTGCTCAACGACTGTGTGGCACGGATGGACGGCAAAGCTGCGAGCGAGATGAGCACGAAGCCAACCGAGCTGGAAGACGCAGCACCAAGCAGCGTCTTGAACTTGCCTAGAAATTCATCCGAGATGTAGCCCGCAGGGATGCATGCGAACTGACTCAGCGAGTCGTAGGTGAGCTTCATGGAGTTGGAGCCCTTGTTGGACCACCCCAGCCGCTGGAAGAAGTTCTTGAGCGACTGGTTGACGGCGTAGCTTGCCACCTCCTCGCACACTGTCAGGACGAAGATGAAGACGCAGACCTTCTTGATGACGTTCTGCGAGTACTTGGAGGGCCGAGCATCCCACAGCTTGGTGCTGTAGCCCGTGGGAGGCTTCGGCGATAGTGTCTGGGTGCTGTAGTCGGTGGTGATCTTCGGCGTCGAGATCTGCGGCGTGAGCAGGAGCGATGGGGACCCAGTGCGAGGCGCCATTGTTGCTTGGCAAAGCAGATTGAGTTATGAATACGAAGTTTGAGTTATGAACGCCAGCCGCCGCCGCTAGTGGGTTCCAAATTCCTCCCCAAGGCCTGAGTGATTTGCCAGTCGCGCTTGTGCAGGAGGAGGTGTTCAGGAGGCGATTAGTATCGCTGGTTATGTAAGTTAGTCGCCTTCATCTGCAAACCATCACGACGACTTTGGTCGAGTCCTGCGGCACCGATGACAAGTTAGCGCGCGTGCCAATTAGCTGCCGCAACGGGACTGAGCATTCGAGACCGGCTCAGCATTGGCTGCCGATTCCTCCAGTCGCATTGTATTGCGGCGCGCTGTCGGTGGTGTCGGTGATGCTGATCCCGCCATCAAGGAAAGCGGTGGATCGCGGGCGACACGCATCAAGCATGACTCTGAGGATGGACGCTCGGCGCTCGATGATCCCTTGACGGTCAAGTTGACCGTCCACCGATATGATCCCGGTCTATGTCGAAGGGCTCAACACGTCGACAATGGTCCATTTTGACGGCCTCTCACATCGCATCATGAGTGGACGAGTTTCAGTGCCCAACCAGAGTCCAAACCAAGCATCACGTGTTGCATGTTGAAGCTGCCCCCTGTGCTCCTAAGAGCGAGGCATTGAAGCCGCAGCAGTGCCATATAGCAGCTCACTTTCCAATTCGCAGCCCAAGCGCCATGGTTCCCAAGAACAACGACTCCACCTCCGCCTCCGCCCCCACCACTGCGGGGGCCTCCTCGCCCGTCCCCATCAAGAACGCTCTTAACCTCGAGGTCAAGCACGCTCCTTTCACCCACCCGGAGCTGCGTGGTGAGTTCCCCACCAAGACCTACGACCCGATCCCCGTGCTCCCGTACGAGGACCGCGCGCTCAAGGCTGACCCGACGTTCAAGAACCTGCTGGCCGACGCAACGGTGACGCACCTGGAGCCGAAGATCGGCACGGAGGTCTCGGGCCTGCAGCTACACGAGCTGACGGACGCTCAGAAGGACGAGCTAGCGCTGCTGGTGGCGCAGCGCGGCGTGGTGTTCTTCCGCGACCAGAAGATCTCCATTGAGGAGCAGTTGGCGCTGGGACGCTACTACGGCCCACTGCACGTGCATCAGACGGTGGCGCACGCGAAGGGAATCCCCCAAGTGCACGTCGTTGAAAACTCTCTCGAGGGCAGTGCGACGCGCATCAAGTCGCAGGCTCTAGAGCCTGTGAATTTGTGGCACAGTGACGTGTCCTATGAGCGTCAGGTAAGGAAAATCATTCGGCATGAGTTGTACGTAGAATACTAACTTTCGACTATTGTTAGCCACCGTCGTACACGAGCTTCAAGGTGCTGACGACCCCGCCCACTGGCGGTGACACTTTGTGGGCTTCAGCGTACGAGGCGTATGAACGTCTCACTCCTCAGTTCAAGAAGTTCGTCGAAGGCCTCACTGCCATCCACAGTAGCAAGGTTTGTTCTTCTGTTCTCGTCTTTTGGATCGACTGTCGTGGTCTAACTCCCAAATTTGATTTTCACGCAGCACCAAGCGGAAAGCGCAATCGCCAACGGTCAGACTCTGCGCCGGCCGATTGTCGAGTTCGAGCACCCCGTTGTTCGCATCCACCCCGTCACCGGTCGCAAAGCGTTGTACGTCAACGCCCAGTTCACGACACGTATCAACACCTTGTCGGCAGCTGAGTCTGGTACGTCACAAGATGAGTCTGCTGGAGTGACACCTTGTACTAATTTGCCCCTACTTTTTCCCCTTCAGATGCGGTCTTGCGCTTTCTACTCCGGCACATTGCTCAGGGACAGGAGTTCCAGGTGCGCTACCACTGGACGAAGGACGCGGTGGCCATCTGGGACAACCGCGCCACGGTTCACTACGCCACGTACGACTACCTCCCGGGCAACCGCCACGCTGTTCGTGTGACGCCGCACGGCGAGATCCCGTACTTCGAGCACCCGGAGAAGCCGTGAAGGACTTGGAATGGACTGGTCGATCAGGCCACGGGTGTGTTTGATTGTGATCTCGTTGAAGCGTAAGTCTGCTTAATGCGAAGACAAACCAAACAATGAAAATGAAACGCTTTACCATTCGAATCTTGCGCCGTAAATCGCTTCTAATGCTACTACAAGTTGCACCTCCATGTGATGCTGCCATATCTCGGATTAACACAGTCGAAAATCTACTACTAGTAATGTTAGTAGTATGATCCAGTAGATACTGTAGTAGTCTACTACAGTATCCCGGGCTTTGGTGCCGTGAAACATTTCACGATTTCATCCAAAGCGGATACTGAATGCTTCTATAAGGTACTTCGAAGTACAAGAAACACAGAAGTCAACAGCAAATTCGACAATTAGCTACAGTACTTGCTTGCTACTTCGAAGTATCAGTTAACGCTACGACGATCAACTGAAAGCTTGGACGCCGGTACCTCCTTCTCTTCCTCCTCCTCGGTGGAATTCTTCCCCAACCGTGGAATCATGCCAAACTGCATGTTTTGCATGACCACGACGTACGCGACAGTATTGAGAATCATCACAGCAGCGATCGCGAAGTACATGTACTCCATGTGGCCATCGTTCAAGTTCGCGGGGATATACTTGCCGAAGAGCAACACGATCACCGACGGCAGCGTGCTTCCCATGGAGTTGATGAAGAGGCCAAGTGCGATGGTCACGCTCCGAAGGCCCATCGGGACCTTGTCGTACCCCACATTGTACGTTGGAATCTGGATAAGCACCGTTGCTGTGGCGACCAGCACATATTGTGGGATGGCTGCGTACCAGGGGATGTCGTTCATCGGCTCCCCTCCGTTTTTGTTCAGAACAACCTGCGTCACGCCGTCTGCATCCAGGTACACCAAGACTGGCGAATTGCGGCGAATGATCTCAAACACACCCGTCCACACCATGGAGATAATGGCGACAACATAGCCAGCTGCCACTTTGCCGTACACGCTGGGAGGCTTGCCAGCGTACTTTTCGTACAGGGATAGACCACCATGTCGAAGAAGGGAACGAGCAGCACGCCAGGTCCAGGGTTGAAAAACTGCACCGTTGGCGCCGGAATTTGAGTTGCGTCTGGGGAGCTACGTCCGTTTGTTGAATGATGGTCTGGTTGTTGCCGCGCTGGTTCTGGCAGACCCACCAAAAGGTGTTGAACGCGTTGAACGGCAAGATGAGGATGACTTGCTTCACACCCTCGATCAGTTCGCGGTCAAACTCGATATCATTGGAGTCGGTTGCGCCGTCGATGAACGAGGGGTCTTGTGCGTAATAGATCCACAGCACCGTAGCTGCCACAATCAACACTCCGCAGACGTACGAGATGTTCTGACCCACTTCTCCGTCATCCGACATGAATGCGGCGACGATGTTAAGCAGGAAGGCTACTATGTACATGATTGTACCGAGCACGATCATTTTCGCGCGGAAATTGCGTGCGGCGCTGCGGACGACCACGTGAATCACACTGGCCAGAGCGCTTTTCGAGGGCGGCACATGGACGTAGCGAGAACGAGTGGGCAGGAAAGTGGCGATGATGCTCAGCACCAACACCAATCCGATAGCGTAGACCGTCACGTATCCGTAGTCGGCAGGGATCGCGCCAATTCCATAGACACAGCGACGGGAACACCGCGTAGTTGATGGCAACTCCCACGTTAGACGCGAACAAATTCATGCTGAAAAAGTAATCGCGCTGCTCCGGGGGTGAATCGGGAGAGTATTGATCCCCGCCGAATGATACCAACAGCGAACTCATGCCAACTTGATTCAGTGCGATACCCAGGAAGAGGCCGACGCAGAAGAGCACCTTGTTCAACATTTGGTTCTCCAGGACGGACGGCAAGGCTGCGATCATGATCAGCACGAAGCCGAGCGGGCTGAATGAGGTCGCGCCAAGCAGCGTCCTGTACTTTCCCAGGAACTGGTCTGCGATGAACGCCGCGGCGATACAAGCGAACTGGCTGAGCGAGTCGTACGTGAGCTTCATGGAGTTGGAGCCTTTGTTGGACCACTCGAGCTTCTGGAAGAAGTTCTTGAGCGACTGGTTGACGCCGTAGCCGGATAGCTCCTCACAAAAGGTCAGCGCTAGAAGGAAGATACAAACGCTCCTCATGACGTTCTTGGAATACTTGGGGGCCCTGGCATCCCATAGCTTGGTGCTGTAGCCGGCGGTGACGACGGGCGTCAGCGACTGCGGTGTCAGCGGAGATTGGGGCCCGGTGCTCTCCCTCATCGTTGCTCGGGCTTGGAAGTTGAGTTGTGAGGGCATAGCAGACGTTGGCCCCGAGTTTATAGCCATTCGGTCTGAGAAAGCGTTAGAGCGCGCGACATACTGTACAACAGCACCTCGGAGGTGCTGATCTGACGCATATGATGTATCAAGCGTTGTACACTAGTGATCACCAATGAACAGTGCTGTTGGGGGCGGCTTTGCCACTTCCTATGAGCTGAGAGCATGCATTGGTCGCTACCGCGTTCGCAGCGGTGCATGTCGAGCTAACGAGCCGCCCAGGGGCACCAGTTGTTCGGGTCACAGGAGGGAATGTTGCCCCCTTGTAACGCATCCCAATGATTCGGACCTGAACTTCAATTTAGCAAGCAAATCAATTCCCGCGATCCTTAGCCGTTCGTCAACGATGATGTTATCCACACGAGCAGCTGTCCAAAAACACCCCGGATCTCTGAAGGTCTCCATTGCACGTTGCCTCAGCCAGCGCACTTACTGGACACACGTTTCGTCGGCAGCACCAATCCGCTGCAAATAATACCAGATCACCGAAATGCAGCGCATGGATCCTGCCAACAAGACTCGCCCTGCGATTGCCGGGGAGCTCTAATGCGTGCAACGCGCACACGCACTCTAGCTGATTTAAAGCGGCAGCAGCTCACTTTCCAATTCGCAGCCCAAGCGCCATGGCTCCCAAGAACAACGACTCCACCTCCGCCTCCGCCCCCACCACTGCGGGGGCCTCATCGCCTGTCCCCATCAAGAACGCTCTTAACCTCGAGGTCAAGCACGCTCCTTTCACCCACCCGGAGCTGCGTGGTGAGTTCCCCACCAAGACCTACGACCCGATCCCCGTGCTCCCGTACGAGGACCGCGCGCTCAAGGCTGACCCGACGTTCAAGAACCTGCTGGCCGACGCAACGGTGACGCACCTGGAGCCGAAGATCGGCACGGAGGTCTCGGGCCTGCAGCTACACGAGCTGACGGACGCTCAGAAGGACGAGCTAGCGCTGCTGGTGGCGCAGCGCGGCGTGGTGTTCTTCCGCGACCAGAAGATCTCCATTGAGGAGCAGTAGGCGCTGGGACGCTACTACGGCCCACTGCACGTGCATCAGACGGTGGCGCACGCGAAGGGAATCCCCCAAGTGCACGTCGTTGAAAACTCTCTTGAGGGGAGTGAAGATCGTCTTGTGAGCAACCTTTACAGACACTTCAACCAGTGGGTTTGGCACAGTGATGTGTCGTACGAGCGCCAGGTATGTTCTGGAATCCTGCTTATAATTAATACTTGTATTAACCGTTGTCCCGCTTGTAGCCGCCTTCCTACACGAGTTTCAAGGTCTTGACCACCGCCTACCGGCGGAGACACTGTTTGGGCTTCAACCTACGAGGCGTATGAACGTCTGACGCCGCAATTCAAGAAGTTTGTTGAAGGACTCACAGCAACCCATAGCAGCAAGGTGCGGGGGTATCGTGAGGTATCGTGCTGCACTATTTTACAGACTCACACCGTTACTTGAATTACACAGCTTCAAGCCGAGGCTACAATCGCGCAGGGTCGAACCCTCCACCGCCCTATCGTGGAATTCGAACACCCGGTTGTCCGCACCCACCCTGTGACAAAGCGGAAAGCGCTCTACGTGAACAGCGAATTTACGACTCGCATTAACAACCTGTCGACCACCGAGTCAGGTACGTAAACGGTGAAGCTGCGGACGTGTATTCACTCGTCGGGAGGGGTGGTGCAGTGATGTTATGTAATGTTGTGTCTTGGGAATTTACGAATACTTTTCTGACTCCACTTACATACAACAGATGCAGTCCTGCGCTTCCTCACCAACCACATCGCTCAAGGACACGAGTTCCAGATCCGCTACCACTGGACCAAGGACGCTGTGGCGATTTGGGACAACCGCGTCACTGCTCACTACGCTACCTTCGACTATTTGCCGGGCAAACGCCACGCCGTTCGCGTCACCCCCCACGGTGAGGTCCCCTACTTGGAGCATCCTGAGAAGCTGTGAACATCGGGACACGCGAGACGGAGCAAACTTTGTAGTGCTGCAGATAAGTCGGAAACCCATGCTCCATGGGTATGAGTTCATGAAGAATTCACGATGAATATCTGGTGTGTGAACATTTTAAGAAATACTACTACGTAGTACGTACCAGCTTTCACCGGAAAAGCTTAAACATGGAGAATTTGTTTCCTACGGTTGTCGGTATTGATACATGTATTCCAACTACTATAGTAGTAGTACAGTTCAGATTTGACATTCGAGGAATGAGATAGAGCCCGGTGAGTAAATTACTCCGGAGAAATACTTTGTTTTCCCCTAACCGGTCTGTGGCAGCAGCAATTTGGTAGCGAACGACAGTAACATGACGATACGTGTATTCATAAGTAGCTTATGTAGTTTCCAGTAGTACCGACTACAATCAAATATGTGCTTTCACGGCGAACCTCGGCATGTTTACAGTGCATCACAGGAACCAGGAACTTAAGAGGCCTGCACAGCCAAACAACTCCCGTGTAAAACAAATTTTTTCGTATTACGTTGGAAGTACTGAATCCGTATTATACACTTCAAAACCCATGACCATTTCGGATCCACAGGCACGAGGAATTATTTTCAAGCAGCTAGTGTGGTCGCGATCTTTACAGTCTCCGCGATATTTACATCGAATCGCATGATACCGAATCTACTGTAAAGTTCAAAGCTACTAAATGCTCGTCTTCACGCATCTCGTAATATTTTAGAGATCGCTTGTTAATAATATTATTTACCTAGTAAGTAAGAACTGTAATTTGCATATCCACTACCAATGATTCATGGCAGAAGGTTAGGATTTGGTCGGGAGAGTTTAAGACCTCTCCTGACGAAGCTTTAGCGGTCAAAACGGCGTTCCCCTCACGCAAACGTGCAATGATACAATATTACCCGGGGTTAGATATTAATCGGGTCGTCTGCGGGTCTGGTAAGACCGAGGGTCGGGCATGTATATTTCGCTGGTCTTTCTGGTCAGTCTGATCAGAAGACCGATCCGTAAAGTACTCGTAAATTACCGCACATAGTAAACTGCAGTAAAAAACACTCCGCGAGTACCGGCGGCTGCCATCTTGCCATATTATAGCAAGGTCACCAGAGAAGATGGTTGTAGGCAAATTAAGAACTGAATAGATTGATCGAGTACTAGTAGGACACTCGCCCGTTGGCTCTCGCCTGCGGACTTAGCGACGGCACTTCGGGGGGCCCGCCCCTCTCTCGCTTCGCTCGGGGAGCGCCGCTACGCGGTCTGCCCCACCCCCTCGTGCCTTACGCTAAGTCCTCGGCTCGGCCAGGCGCGGTGTCAAGGAAAAAAAACATCGGGTTGCAGCGCTCGCCTTCGCTCGCTCGCGCAGACACGCCCCCGCCTGATCGGCGGGTGTTGGTGACCGGTGAACGCATTGAGTGAGCCTCGCGCTTGCATTCGCTCGCCCCCGGCCGTATTCCCATTTTGTGGGCTCTAAGCGCGTGGACATCTGCCTGGGTAATGGATACACTACAGTTCATCTGCGCTAGATCAATGTAGTAAGTCACCTAGGCTGACTAATCGATATTTGACATGGGTATGGGTCGGACATGAAAGGAATAATAGCTTCGCTGTAAGATATTCACGGATCTGGATATGGGTCACACTGACCCGCGGCCTTACCAGACCAGCAGACGACCCGATTAATAATCTACCATTACCCGGGCTACTGGCTTTTCCTGTTGTTCCAACTTGCAATCATTTCGAGGTTTTGTGGCTAGTACTAGTATTATGACAGCGGGCCAGCTCAAAACTATAACTTGGCGATAGTAGGATAAACGGAAGAAAGCAACAGAACATGAATTGGGTACATCATCTTAACTGCCAGCTACAATCCGCTATGCCATCACTTAATTAATGCTGCGACGATCCGTCGAAAGCTTGTAAGCTGGCAGGTTCTTATCGTCTTCCTCGATAATTTCCTTTCCCGGTCGAGGGATCATGCCGAACTTCATCTTCTGCATGACGACGAGATAGAAGAAAAGGTTGACCACCATCACCGCAGCGATCGTAAAGTACATATTCTCCATGTGGCCGTCGTTCAAGTTCGCGGGGATATCCTTGCCAAACAGCAACACGATCACCGACAGTAGCGTGCTGCCCATGGAGTTCATAAAGAGACCGAGCGCAATCGACACGCCACGAAGAGCCAACGGAACTTCGGAGTACCCAATGTCGTACGTGGGAATTTGGATGAGGACTGTTGCTGCACCAACGAGGACATACTGGGGAATGGCGTTGTACCATCGGATATCGCTCATGGGCTGTCCACCATTGTTGTTGTAGATGTACTGCGTCTCACCGCTAGCATCCACGTAGGTGAGAAGAGGGGAGTTGAGACGGATGATCTCGAATACACCAGTCCACACCATGGCGATAATGGCAACAACATAGCCAGCAGCTACTTTGCTGTACCTGCTGGGTGGCTTGCCGACGAACTTCTCGTAGAGTGGGTAGACCAGGTTGTGGAAGAACGGAACAGCCAACAAACCGGGGCCAGGGTTGAAAAACTGCACAGTTGGCGCCGGAATTTGAGTCGAGTCTGGGGAGCTGCCGAGGCGCACGACTGTTTGCTGGATGATAGTCTGGTTGTTTCCGCGTTGATTTTGGCAGACCCACCAGAACATGTTGAACGCGTTGAACGGCAATATGTAGATAACTTGCTTGACACCGCGAATCAGCTCCCGTTCAAACGCGGTACCGTCCGTATCCGTAGCATCGTCGACCATGGACGAAGAGGGGAAAACAGGTCAATCCTAACAGTTGGTCACGGGTATGATGGTCAAATAGGTCACACATCAGGACGCTAGGTCACGTGACCAAACTTAACAGGTCACACCCATTGATGTAGACGGTAAGATGCGCGCACGCCCGCATGAGAATGAGAGCAAAATGCATACTTAAGTATGCAGCTTCGAAGCGGACGAGGGCCCACTTCTCTTCAGCCTGAAGAATTCAGACATCATACAAGTTTCTCAGTACACACGACACCTCTCTCATTGCTTTCGTACTCTGTCAGTGCGGTTTCCTACAGGACACGACGTGCTGCACCGTGAGTTGCTGCTGTGTTACAGTAGAAGCTGGCTAAGTGCTGCACTGTGGGCTGCCTATCATCTTGCACAGCGTGCTTGCTACTAGCAAAAGTACCATGTTGCGCTGCAAGTCCTTACCATGCTAAAATGTGTGCTTCCTACCATTTACACTGCAAGAGACCGCCCACCATGCATGCTGCACGGGCAGTAGTTACATTGCTAAACAGTGAGCTGCTGTGATGCTCGTAGTATGAGCGCAGATCGCAATACCCTAGATAGAGGAGGTGGTGCTACCTACCATGTTGCAGTACAAGCACCGTACAAAGTCACCAACCCTTGCTCACGGGACTCCGCTCGCATTCAGCGCTTGAGCTCATGGACTCAGCGTCACGTAGCGTTATCTCGACCTAGCCTTCAGTCTTGCTCGACGTGTGGGACCCCGTAACCTCGCTCGAGGTCGAAGTCGAGTACCCCGCCGCCCGCTGTTCCTGGGATCACAGCGTTGCCGAAGGCCATGGGCATGCTGCACAGATTTGACCGCACACTCGACTCGCCGTCTCGTTTCGTTTCAAGGTGCGGCGCATTACAGTCATTTAGCCTAACTAACGGCTTAGCAAATGCCCGATCCTCCAGCGCTTACAATTCACTCTGCCTACCTTGCAAGGTGACAGCATATGCACACTTGCTACGGTGTGCCAGTGAGGGTGAAGGTCCGGTGGTCCATCCAGCGTCCAGCTTCGGTTTGGAGGGACGCGAGCACTGTTGTCCACCGCGACGGTAAGCGGGGGAGATCCTCGCGACTCGGCCGTCTCGGAGGCATAACGACTGTATTTGTAGCGAAGAGTCAGAGCTGTAAGTAGGTTTCGGAACACTATTATAAAGGACCAGGGAGGCTAGCGCTCCGAGCAAACCAAAGCTCTGTTTAGCTTAAAAGGTTGATTTCAAAGTAATCTGTGTATGTGTTTCAGCTGACTCCTGCTAGCGCCTTCTGCCAGCGTCTTCTACCAAACCGACCCCCCTCTCTCTCTGTCGTTCGCATTGGTTTCGCTGTTCCTCCCTTTCCTCCTGCCCGCTTTGTAGCGTAAGCCTCCCGATGAGTGGGCTGGGCTCGCTTCTGTGGAAACCTCCACTGCACTTATCATGTATTTGCCTACCATATTTCACTGCTAGTAGTACCATGCTATATTTTGAGCCGCCTACCATACAGAATTGCACCTAGCTTTCATTCTACACAATAACGCAACTCAACTATTGCAAAGTACACAGTGTAATAGCGAGGCAACCGGCTCGTATAGTGCGACATGGTAGTACAAGTAGACTGTAGGGTTACACACCCTCCCATGAACAACTTCGTCGACATAAGGAACCCATTATGAAATTTCGACATCGTCTCCGGATTCTATTTCGTGCTTTGTAGCATTCACTTAGAAAAATTATACGCGCCTAGAACAGTAGCTAACCCATCGCATCACAGCTCAGCACACTTCAACATGAGACGGCCCCCATCGCGTAATGTAGGTCACGAAAAGGTATTTCTCACGTATATGCGGCACCGCGCGTTGTTATCCATTCCAGGCTCGGTACCCGGTAGGCCTCCTCGGCGGAAACGTCTCCAGCTGCCGAGTGCGCCTCAACTGCGTCAGGCCGCCGACATTGTGGGGTCAGAGAAGAGCAAAGACTTATGAGAGCAGCCTACCATCGCCACTGATGACCCTGAATCTTGCTCTAGTGCTAGAGGCCGACGATGCCGAGATGGATCATGAAACAGCAGACTATCGTCCAGACGACTCTTTTGACTACGACAGCGCGGAATAATGGTGCGGAAGTCGCTATCTGTCAGGAGCAGAATCGCTATAACGCATTTACTTAACAACCAAACCGTTTGCGAATTACATGTGACCTCATTCGCTTAGGTCACGTGACCAAAGTAAGGATTTGACCCGTGACCAAAATGTAGGATTGACCTAAAAATCCGGTTACCGACCATGGATACATCTTGTCCGAAGTAGATCCAAAGGACGGTAGCTACAACGATGAGAGCGCCACAGACGTATGAGATGCGATGGCCGGTCTCGCCATCATCCGACATGAATGCCGCAAGGATGTTGAGGAACAACGCGGCCAAGTACAGGATCGCGCCAAGTACAATCATTTTCGCACTGAAGCTGTGCTTGCAGCTACAGACCACCACATGGATCACACTTCCAAGCGCGCTCTTCGTGGGAGGGACGTGGATGTAGCGACGGCGGGTAGCAATCAAGTTCGCGATGATTGACAGCATTAGCGCCAAGCCGATAGCGAAGACGGCGACGTATCCGTAGTCCGCGGGGATGGCTCCAACGCCGTTCAGACACAGCGACGGAAACACCGCGTAGTTGATAGCGACACCCAAGTTTGATGACCAGTAGTTGATGCTGAAGTACGACGCTCGCTGCTCAGGAGGAGACGCCGGGGAGAACTGGTCGCCGCCGAATGATACCAACAGCGAACTCATGCCAACTTGATTCAGTGCGATACCCAGGAAGAGGCCGACGCAGAAGAGCACCTTGTTCAACATTTGGTTCTCCAGGACGGACGGCAAGGCTGCGATCATGATCAGCACGAAGCCGAGCGGGCTGAATGAGGTCGCGCCAAGCAGCGTCCTGTACTTTCCCAGGTACTGGTCTGCGATGAACGCCGCGGCGATACAAGCGAACTGGCTGAGCGAGTCGTACGTGAGCTTCATGGAGTTGGAGCCTTTGTTGGACCACTCGAGCTTCTGGAAGAAGTTCTTGAGCGACTGGTTGACGCCGCAGCCGGCGAGCTCTTCACAGAACGTCACGACGCAGAGGAAGATGCAGACGCTCCTCATGACGTTCTTGGAATACTTGGGGGCCCTGGCATCCCATAGCTTGGTGCTGTAGCCGGCGGTGACGACGGGCGTCAGCGACTGCGGGGTCGGCAGTGGGGACTGTGGCGGATTGCTCTTGCCCATGTCGTTTCCAAGAGCGGAAATTGAGTTTTGGTCGTTGGAGCAAAGGAGCCGCTTGCCGTGCACTTAGGTATCGATAGTGTTAGATGCAAGTAGCCGGGCTTCACGAGGAGGGGCCTCTGCTTACTAACGTGCTCGAGTATCGCGTTTTGGCCGGGCACGCAGTTGCAACGTTTTGGTTGAGTCCTGTCATTATTTACGATGGGCCACTGACCCGGAGCACCAGCCTCCAATTAGGCAAAGCGGATCGCTTAGCACGGGACACTTTGGCCGGGAGCGCTGCTGCATTGGCTGCGCGGGTCTCCAGTGAGCGTGCCCTATTGCCCAGGGTCGGTGTCCAGGATGAGTAGGCACAATCAATCGCTTCAACTTGTGCAAATCGTGCGGGCGGTTCTCAACCACACACAAAGCCCGGCTATGCAGAAAGCATTTCAACGGGAAGAATGGACCTCCAAGCAGTCCTGCGTGATCCACTACGCGCGATGCACTGGGCGGGCCGCTAGATCGACACACCAATGCATTGCGACCTGGTTCTTTCGTCGACGCCTATCGGTGAGCCGGGCACGGGCATTCGTCTCGATTGACTGATTTTTTCCTGCTGCTGCTGCGTGTTGTAAGCGTGTCTTTAGGATGATCTATTGTGGTCTAGTCGAGTCGACCAGGCCGACCCTGTGGCGACTACATGTTCAACATAGTTCGCTAACTCACCTCGAAATATCGTGCTAGTTCAGTGTCCCGTTCGATTTACGTTCAGGTGTTTTGACGGTCAAAGTGATCTACATGTAGTTCGGATGGTATGGGTTGTGTCTACAGTAAATTATTGGATTATTGTATTCGAATCTATCTACAGTACAGTCAGACAACAACCATTACAAAAGGCGCCATCAAATGTGCAAATGTGCAGGTTAGACCAATGGTGACGTATTTCATCGTCGTTGTCTGTACAGTAATGGATACTAGTTAATTTTCACTGGGCAGTTAGTAGACTCTACTGTAGGTCTTGCCGCCTCTGGTAGAGTCTACTGAACCAAATCAGAAGACTCTACGTCCTGCGAGAAATCGAAAACATGATTAAGTGCTTAGCTAGTAAACCAAGAAATGCAGCATAATGCTGGGAAATGTTGAGTGAGAAAAACAGAAAGAGTGTATTCTTTAAGCAGTGCTGGACTCCTGCACCTGCTATTCGTCCCAAACTTCATCCGGTTCATGACGACTACATAAAAGAAGATATTAACGATCATAAGCGCGCCGAGAGTGAAGAACAGATACTCCAGATGTGCATTGTTGAGATTGGCCGGGATGTACTTGCCAAAGAGCACACAATGATAGATAACAAGGAGCTGCCCATTGAGTTGACGAAGAACGCGAGTGCGATCGAAGTGCTGCGCATGCTCTGCGGGACCTCCGAATAGTTCAGGTCGTAGCTCGGAATGCAGATCAGCACACCGGGTAGCGATACCAGCAGGTAGTGCGGGATCGTGGTCCACCAAGGAATGTCGTTCATCACTTGGCCTCCGTCGTCATCAAGCAGAAATTGTTCAACACCATCCGCGTCCGTGTACGAAAGTGGGCCAGCGCTGCGTCGGATGACTTCGTTGGCGCCAGTCCAAAACATCGCCACCACAGCGACACAGTAGCCGGTGAGGATTTTCCCATACGGACTTGGAGGCTTCCCAGAGTATTTCGCGTAGAGCGGGTAGACCACCTTCTCGAGGAACGGAATGAAGAACAGCGCAGCCAAAGGGTTAAACAGCTGAATCATTGGCCCTGGGACTTGGCTAGCGTCGAGAGAGCTCCCGACGCTAGTGTCCGTTTGCTGAATGATCGACTGGTCCACCAAAAGACATTGAACGCGTTGAGAGGGAGAGTCCGGATGACTTGCTTGACATCGTCCACAACCTTGGCATCGAAGCTCCCTCCCAGGCTTTGTTTCGCGCTCTCCATGAAGGCGGAGTCACGACCGACATATACCCAGAGAATTGTAGCGCTCACAATCATCACTCCCGATGCGTAAGAGATGTCGTGGCCAACATTTCCTCGATCCGACAAGACCGAAGCAAGGATGTTACACAGGAACGCGATAACATACAGCAGCGTGCCCAACACGACCAGATTTGCGCGGAAGTTCGTTCTCGAATGACCAAATACAACGCGGATAACAACTGCGACGGATTGCTTTGTCGGAGGGACATTCACGTATCTTGCACGTGTTGACCAGAGTACGATCGAAAAAGTGAGCACTACAGCGAAACCCGCGATATATACCGCAAAGTAGAAGTAGCCGTATTCCGGTGGGATGACACCGATGCCGTGGATGGACACCCACGGAAAGACCAGGTAGCCGATGAAGGCACCGACGTTGGCCCCCCAATACTGCCCACTGAAGTAGAGCAGAGGTCCGCCAATACCATAAAAATTGGATTGCCAGCAGCATGACTCCATAATAAAGATTTCAATATAGCGGCAAACAATAGTAAATATTGCCGTAATTTATATTGTATTGTTAGTTATTTCTTCATGTTCTTCTAACTCTCGCTCTTCTACCACGACTTCCCGTAGGCACGCCTATCTCGATAAAATCTCTGCGATCCACAGGCCAAAACACGCCGAGCTCCTCCTCTTCAAAACGCGCAATGGCATCTTGTGGTAAATCTGATGCTGGCTGCCAAGTAGGACAGGGGTATCCAACCCAGCTCACAAAGTAGTAGTCGTTGCCATCCAGATCAGTCTTTTTTGCATAAATAAACTCAAGGGTGTATACATTTGGCCCTTCAATGTCGGAGCTGACGAAGTTGAGTAGTATTTGTAGGGGCACTTGGCGCACCGACGCTAGCCCCTACTATTTCCGCCAATGTTGGCCGGCGGGCTGGCTGACGAGTACGACTGGTACTTGAACGCTTTGAGTCGGCCAGCTTGCCAATATGTGCGAGGCGCTTGTTTTTCTTGGGCATCATGGTTCAAGAGGGATAGTGATGGCCCAAGGGAAACAAGCGCATAGAGTATAAATTTAATGTTGAAGTGCATTGCCGCTATAAATATAAGCGGTATCGCTATAAATTGTAGCCAGTAAAAGTGCGATGACTATAATTAATATAGAATTGGTTCTAACAATAAGTGACCGCACATTACCTTAAAATTGATCATGCGGTATATCTATTTAAAGACGTAAATAAGCCCATATACATGCAACAAGGCATACCAACTCTAGATAAATCGCATCTTCTTCGTCAATATTTGCATGTTGACTCCGGGGAAACCTGCATCGTAACAGCGAATATTAGGCTTATACATGTATGATTCGTTTTAGATCTCAAGTTTCGTCCAATTTTCGCAATGAATATTAAAAAGTATCACTAAAATAATGACAAGGTAAAGGTCGCACTTTCGTTAACTGGATTACGATCTAAAGGGTTTCCTCAGCACTAACGCTAGCAACCGTCGTAACATCCCACATGGTGCGGTTGACGCGAAGGAACGCGAGCTGTTCGAAGTTCGCCGGGAGCATAGCACGCCGCTGCGGGGTCAAAACGAGCTTTGTGGTGGGCCGCAGAACCGCACTTTTTTCATATTTATTGTCAATAATTGGGTCAATATCATATTGTATTAGTAGCTGGGATGTTCAATAATAATTTTTTTATTGCAAAACCCAATTATTTATTGAATTGAAATATTTTTTCCGACCTCTGAAGTAGAGGGCCTTTTCCGACGGAGGTGCAGCTGGTGAAAACTGGTCGCCTCCGTACGAGATGACAAGCACCTGAAGACACACTTGAGACACAGCGACGCCGAGAAATAGCCCGATGTTGAAGATGATCTTACTCGTCTGGATGTGGCTCAGCACGGAGGGGAGCGACGCAACGACGACCAACAAGCTCGAACGACGCCATCGAGGCCAGCGTTTTGAATTTACCAATGTGTTCATCTGACACGTATCCGGCGGCGACGCACATGAACTGGCTGACCGAGTCGTACGTGAGCTTCATTGACGTAGATCCCTTGTTAGACCAGCCCAACTTCTGGAAGAAATTCTTGAGCGACTGGCTGATGGCAAACGTGGCGATGCCCTCGCAGATGGAGAGGACGATGAGGAACGCACAGACGTGCTTGAGCACATTTCGTGCGTACTTGGCCGGGGGTCTGCCAGGCTGTTGAACCGAACAATATTTGCGTTTGCGCACACTGATAACACATCCCTTTGTCATTCTGGCGCATAAACGCTGCCATTCTGTAGATTACCTGCACCCTTGCCTTCAGTCCAACAAGCTCCCCCATGCTGCGCTGATTGGTTACACAAGTCCCCAATAACAAGAACCGAGAACGAGCCGTAATAGAGCCAACAAACTGCTTCAACCAGGAATCTTTGCGGGTCGACACATGCTGCTACTAGACGTCGAGTCACTTTCCAATTTGCTTTAAGCGCGCAACGACCCAGCAACCATGGCCCCAAGAACCAAGATACCGACTCCCAGACGACTTCCGCCGCTGCCCCTACGGCTATTCCCGTGAAGAATGCGTTATTCCAGGAAGTGCAGCACGCTAAGTTCGAGCACCCGGAGCTGCTGAGCACCTTCCCACCTACGACGTACGACCCGATCCCGGTTGTCCCGTACGAGGACCGCGCACTCAAGGCCGACCCGACGTTCAAGAACCTGCTGGCCGACGCAACGGTGACGCACCTGGAGCCGAAGATCGGCACGGAGGTCTCGGGCCTGCAGCTACACGAGCTGACGGACGCTCAGAAGGACGAGCTGGCGCTGCTCATCGCCCATCGCGGCGTGGTATTCTTTCGCGACCAGAAAATCACGGCCGAGCAGCAATTGGAGCTTGGGCGGTACTACGGCGCTCACGGTCCCTGATGTCGGTGGCTATACGCTATGGGCATGCGGCTACGAAGCGTACGACCGCCTCACCCCCGCGTTCAAGAAGTTTCTCGAGGGCCTCGTCGCGGTTCACAGCGGAAAGGTACGATCACTCTACGGATAGCTTACTCTACCGCTGCGTCGGCGACACTAACAATATGTCAATTGCAGAGCCAAGCTGAACATGCCATCGAAGCTGGGCGCATCGTTCGCCGCCCAGTGGTTGAGTTCGAGCACCCTGTTGTCCGTACGCGCCCCGTAACAAAGCGCAAAGCACTCTTCGTAAACGCCGCGTTCACGAAGCGCATCAATAACCTGTCTGCAGCTGAATCGGGTAGGTTTCTTCCCTCTGTATGGATATACAACCAGTGCTACGACTGCTGTTGCAAAACTAACAACTGTTCGCTTACCCTGAAGATGCGGTGCTGCGATTTCTCTACAAGCACATCACCGAAGGACACGAGTTTCAAGTCCGCTACCACTGGACCAAGGACGCAGTGGCGATCTGGAACAACCGCTCGACCTTCCACTACGCCACGTTTGACTTCTTGCCGGGAAACCGCCACGCGGTTCGTGTGACGCCGCACGGCGAGATCCGGTACTATGACCCGCATGCCATCGATCCGTAGACGTATGAAGAAGAAAATTTTTGTCATACAGTTTCGAGATGAGCCCTGGTATGTTGAAGCTGGGAAATGCGAGAATGAGAAGAAGAAACAATAAAAACATGTAGCAGGCGCCTTTGAGCTCTGTTATATGCCTGGTGAATTTATCGGCAAAACTTAAACTCTGTCTTACTATGACTATGTATCGTACTGCCAGCTCGGGCTACTGTCGTTAGGCGGCCCAGGGGCGTGTATGACTGTCGCGCGACATTACCATTTCAACTTGCGCTTTCAATCGCGAAAGCAATGCATTGGGAGCCTTCCAAAACCTGCATTTCATCGACATAAAATGTTTCTCTCAATTCATCTCTAAATATAAGCTGTGCAGAGGTCGATATATGTGAGAGGTCGGGCTTTATGCCTTCAAGTTGCTAAATGAGGGAGGTGTGTACTTTAATCAAGTTAACATTTATGTAGTTGCACAATGAGGGGGCGAAGTGACTCAGACGTAATTTACGTCTCATATCCATTTATGCAGAAGTTTAACACGGTTTTGGAAGGCTTCCATTGTAAACCTCTTCACACTGCTCGTTCTCGTCAAGCCTGAATTTTGAGCACACCATACCATCATTGTTGCCAGCGATACCTCGATGGTTGTACCTTTAGTGCGGCAGTGATGAATTTGAGTTTTATTTTATTTCCACTGTTATTTAGGGGACATTATGTTTCGGGCCCGGCCCGTTATTTTCAAATAATTGCGCATCGGGTCCGTTATTTTCAAATCGAAGGTACAGCTCGTTCTATTGAAAAACCTAATCTAACGTATAATACCTATTAGTACGCGGGTTATATTATTATACAGTGCGTTGTATTCGACTTTTCAAAATTAAGACCTTGCAGTAATATTTGCTAAATATCAATTAAAAACGTTATACTAAACTAATCAAGTTGAATCTAGCGACAGCAAAATGTGTGGCAACGAGAAAACGTAATACATTACTTACATACAACAATCAATTTGTAGTGACATTGAGTTCTAGGATTCTTGCTGCATTTTTAAATGAGCTTAAAAGTCCTATGATAGGCAATGCTGTTTGCTTTACTACGGTCAGTTTGATAATAAACGATAATGAAAAATAGTAATCATTGTATACTAATTTCTTAAAATTAGTATATCTTACCACATATTGCCCTGTAATTATAACAAATACCAGGAAAAATCCCCAAATAGCCGTAGTAAATAACTATAGAGCCCAATTACTGTTCATGGACTTCATCGAGGATCTTCGTGTATTTGATTCGAGATTCTTTTGTTTATGGTACTGATTTCACTGTAAAAAAACAACGACATGGTTCTGAGGTGTCAGCTGAGGACAAAAGCGTAATTTACATTGTGACAAAAATCTACACTATTGCATAATGTATCAGCACGATTACTAATAATAATATAACAAATTGCCTTTTGTTTAAGTAAAAAATCGTTACATATCTTTTTATTATTTGTATAAAACGTTTAGGGATAGCGTTCTATTTTTATACAATGCTCCGAGCAAGGGGGTTATATTCGACGAGGGCGTCCTAATCGGGATTTTACGGTTTTTCATACTCTATTACCATCCGTACCGTGCAGACCAGTCACATATTTTACATGTACAGGTTTTGGTAATGTACTTTAAAAGGTCTCTACAATGCTAAAAAAACCTTTTAAGCACAATATATGGTTTCACAGCAAAGAAACTGGTATTGCCGTTTGCAGATTTTTTGGCCAATGCATGCTTATTATCTCGTGAATAATCTCGGTTTTAATCCAGTCAGCTCTTAATTAAGACCTTGGTCTGATTTATATATCTCGTCAGTACGGTCTAATATCCAAGCTTGAGGCTCTGTTTTCCCGACCAAACCGCTTTTCTGCGGCTTGGAAACGCAGAAACGCCGCTCTAGACAGGCCAAACGGAGTTTCTGGGCCTAAAAGCGGCCTCCACCAAAGCACAAAGCTAAAGCAGCCCTCGCCTATCTCGTGTCCACTCGTATTAAGAGACAGGCGTGGTCTATTTTAGAGGACAAAGTATTTGCAAGCGGCAATAATATAGATTTTTATTTAAGATATTAGTGTATTTCATCAGTACAAGCAAGGTTATAAATTCGATTATGAACGCTGGTACTAATTTCAACTTTACAATAAATTGTAAGTCATCAATACAATATGTTAAAAGCATTACATTGCGTAACTCTTCAAATCACCGCGGCGGGAAACAGTCGGCTTCCGACCCGAACGACGATTTATAAACTCGTCCCCAGCTTTGACTTGCTTTATGTATAGTCCCGCGCCACGACCACTCATGACCGACATGGTGGGTGCCAAGCCTTCAGACCCCGGGCAGGACGCTGTGGCCGCAGCCCAAGGAGCAGGGGTCCCCCCAAGCGTCCCTCCCCAAGCTGAGGCAGGTAACGCTCAGGAACAGCACCATCGACCAAGCCAAGATCAAGTCCGGCCAGCGCCGTCGGCTCCACCGCACTCTGCCCCCTCCGGAAGGCCTGCCCCTGGTGCAGCTACGCCCCCCCAGGCTGGACGGACTTCCCATGTGCAGGAAGTCCCTGGACAGGGAACTCGGCGTCGGTGCTGAGCGCCTCGAGGCCGATCTCGGAGGAACAAGAGCGCTCTTCGCGGATCGTAACGGGTGTTTGGAACCCTCTGCTGAAGAAGCGCTTAATTACCACTATGCTCCACGAGTGGGTTGCCCCCGATGGTAAGATGTGGACGGACGAAGAACGTCGCTTACGTGACGTCGCTTTGGCGCCAGGCGACGTGAATCGTGGCCAAAATATTCGCGAGATGACGGCCGAGGAGTCGCAGGCCCTCCTTCCTTACGTCCGCGGCGAGCTTGAACTTCCCCACCCGCACAACTTCGTCAAGTCGACCATATCTCCACTCCACCGGGCCATGCTCGACGACATCCATGAAGCGCATGTTAATGCTATCCTAACGGAACCTCCCTCAGCAAGTTAACCTGGAGCACAATGCCACTATGCCCCATGTTGAGTTGTTCAGGGAGCTGTACAACTATTGGCCAAGAGATGATGCGCCGCCTGTAGCGCGATGTGAAGCGGTTTGTCTACGATGGGGCTCATACTTTGGGCTTTGTTTTCCACTCTCGCCGTGTGGCAGCTGTGTGGGAGTGCCAATTATCCGTATTCAACGGACTGTCATCACTCTGCATGATACAGTCAGGCGCAGTGAGGCTGATGCTGGCAGTTTCACGGCTGTTCAACTCGACGGGGTGTACGCACTTCACGTGCGGCGGGGGTCAACTGCGTTTGTCGGCCCTAGCTCGAGCCTTTACGGAGCTCAGTGGTGCGAAAGTTCTGGATGTGCAGTTTCCTCGGTCCACCAAAGCGGACATTTACCATAATTATAAGGTGCACCGGCCCAGAAATGGTGAAGATCACAAATCCGGGTGCTACGAGGCTCTCTCGGATAAATACGCCCGCGAGTACTTGTTCCAATGCTGTTCTCTTCATGTATTGCCTTACTTTATGGCCCGGCATATTTGCGAGCGCCCCTTCTATGGTGTAGCACACGGTGAACGATTCGTTAAGGGCCTGGTCGGGGAACGCTCGTCTCGGCTTTCGATCGTCTTAGACGATGTGGCGACATTTTTTCTTCTTTTTGATTGGCCAGTTATTAGCTCGATCGGCTAGGTTCATCGTCTCCAGACTGACCAATCTGAGACGACTAAATCACCAGTCTCACTTTGGAGACGAGCGTCTTCACTGCGTTTCGATGGTGCAGAGCGAAAGCATCGTTGCTGCAGTTGCTGCGGCCACGGGAGCTCTCGTGACGGCGGTCCACACCGCTGTGTGGGCAATTTCGAACCCAAAGCAGAACATCCTTACCCTGACACCGCTAGAGTTTGAGGCTATGCTTTACGACGCGGTCTACGACGAGTGGTTTCGACAGAATCTCAGGTGTAGCCAAGCTACGTTTCTACGGCTTTGAGGTGTTCTGCGTCAGGAGCTGAAAGCTTTTGAGCTAGATCGATTTATGAAGGAGCACTCTTTTGAGGAGAAGGTTGCTTGTTTTCTTTTTTTTCTCGGCTCTCAGGGTGGCTATAGAGAAACTACGGCTGCGTTTGCAATTTCGAAGTCCTGGGCTATCGACGTGATTGGTATATTTCTCAAGGCTTTACGCCGGTCGCTGCGCAAGTTCGTTCATTTTCCGCGGCATGCTCATGAATGGACCCGAGTTCAAGGTAAATTCCAAGCGAAAGGTGAAATTCCAGGAGTGGTGGGCGCGATAGACGGCTCTCTAGTGGAGATTAACAGGCCCGAGGACTTTGAGGGATACTATTGTCGAAAGATGTTCCCAGCGCTAAATGTGCAGGCTGTTGTTGACGACAAAATGCGCTTTACTAGCGTGGAGATTCGGCCGGGCTCGTGGTCTGACCAAAAAACATGGCGTGCGTCTACTTTAGGCTCCAACTTCAAAGACTTTTTGCCAGCGGGGACCCACATTTTAGGATATGCAGGATATGCTATTAGTCCGGCTATCATGACGCCGTTCATGGAAAATGATGGAGCCGGTTTGACACGCAAGCAGCTACGCTACAATTATCTGCATTCCCGAACTAGGATGACAGTCGAGTGTGCTTTTGGACTCTGGAAAGGTCGCTTCAGAATTGTTAACTGCTGCATTAACACCAAATGCGTCGAGAAGGCTGTGGATATTGTGGCTGCAACGATGGTTCTCCACAATATTTTGTTGGGTTTGAAGGATGACACTTCTTTCGAAGATGAAGATGACGCGCGGGTGAACTTCGATGAAGAGGAAGATTTTGTTGTAACTGGGAACAACTCTGAGATGACTGCAAGCTTTCTAAGAGATGTTGGTTCGAGAAAACGTGAGTCCATTTTGGCTTTTACCGAAGCTTTTGAGCTAGTCTAGAAAACGTGTGTAGCTAGATTTTAATGGTCGCGGCGGATCAAATCCAGTAGCTCTCGAATCGTTTCATTCTGCACTCGAAGTCGCTCGCTCTGAGCTTGCATTTCCGACAAGAGTTGCTCGGTTTGGGCATGAGCCCGCTCACTTTGCTCGCGGAACAGCCCGGTCTGTTGCTGCACAGCAGCTGCAATGTCTTCGGCACCCCCATTTCGGACTGTAGCAAGTCCTTGGCCCAAAGCTTCTAGCCCTTCGCTAAACCCTTTAGCAACCGCACTCAAACCCGCCTCCACACGCCCCCCCTGGGTGCGCTTCTGTCGCTTATTAGACGACCCCGTGGAGCCAGACATGGTGCGGGGCGTTGGAGATTGAGGAGGGGGAGGTGAGGCAGGCGTGACGAAGGCAGCGACGTCGGCGCTCGCAGCGTCACCAGCAGCAGCAGTTGTATCCGGGTCCTCCGTGCTAATATGCGGTCGGTTGTTCATCCGCGTCGCATCACCCCAGTAGTCTTTCATGATGGAGTAGTGATTTGGGCGCCGCACGGGTCCGTCGTTGCCAGTTCGACCTTCTGCTTCCCGCGCAGTCGCCCACTTTTGCTTCATGTTCTTCATCTTTAAAAAATATTCACCGCACATCATGATTAATAACTTAGTAGTGGCTCATTCCGATATATATTTTCACATTGTAGATATTTACCTTAGATTGACACTGCTGGTCAGTGAACACTTTGCTCTGGTTAACAGAGAGTGTTGATGCTAAGACGGCCCACGCATATTTGATGCGCTTGGTGTCCTTCGGGTTCTTGAAGTTGTCAGCTAACTCTGCGTAACGGAGGCGAAAGAACTCGCTCACATCATCATCGCTCCATGATGCAGCTGGCCTGGTCGAATCTCCTCGTCCTCCACGACTACCGCGACCTGCCCCGCGACCACCACGGCCTCCGGGTGCTCTCTCGACGCCGCTCCCGTTGGGGTCCGTGCCGCTTACGCTTCTCTCAGCAGCGTCTTCAGCTTCAGCGCCGCCCACAGGTGGAGCAGTAAGGGTGCGTTCCATGGCTGCGAGTTCTCGAGTGTGATGGTGATGAGTCGAGCGGCTTGACACACCAAAACTAAGACGGTCTCCAGCCAACCGACCAAATCGGCTCGGTTCACCTTAGGGGTAGGCTTACCGGAGACGAGCGAGACTGAGACGATTATTCCCCGACCAGGCCCTAAATGGAGAGCAGAAGGGGATCCCAGCTACGCAGCGTCGGCATCAGACTCGTATGCCCGGAAGGACTCGGTGAATTCTGTGCTGCCAGAGGAAGACAGAGTCGCTCAACAAACTCGCCAACGTTGACAACGTTAACGCCGTGCTCATTAAACGGATGCCCATGCGGGATCGAATGGACATCGTCCACGCCCGCTTGGGCATCGCGACACTTGACGCTGTCGGATATGATGATGAAGCTGGTCTTGACGAGACCGTAGCCTCCGAAGGCAAACTGCTGCAAGAGGCAATTGGTATTGACGGATATGCGAGTGGTTCTCACGCCAGCCAAGACGGGACGGACATGGACATCGCGTTGCCGAGGCGCCACCACCGTGTATCTACTGGCGAAGTGGTTGAGCACGCTTACTTTCACCTACTTCGAGCCCAGGCGGGCGAAGAGATTGATCCCGATGACTACGCTCAGCACAAGCTTTTCGCGGCCGCTAACATGGAAGCATTCGCGGCGTGGTGCTCGTTGTACCAGACCCGGCTGCAGATTCCTCCCACTCTCAGACGCAGTAACCCTCGAAGTGGTTGTTGAGCAACATCACTGCTCTTCGCCATCTTTTCGCCTTCCTACCGTATCCGGAGTTAGAGACAAAACAGTGGGAGTTTGAACAGCTAGTTAAGAGGGGCGAGGTGGAAGTATACCGAGAGCAGACAGACGCTATATGGCGCCTTATGCATGACAACTCCATCAGTCAAGAGGCGATAGACTTTTGTGTTGCGTGGCACAACGCTACCAACAAAGGACTAGGCACGCTTTGACGGATGACGGTCCGCGCTGGGCACGATTAAGACGCACGGCAGTTGGAATGGAGCGATGTCGCGAGAACGGAACAGGCCTCGAAGCAGACGGATGGGCTCTTCTTCCTGTACTACCTTACGTCGTCAGTACATGGTCCACTTCTCCGATGGGCAGGGCACCCACAGGTGCTCGTAGTGTGGGGTATCACGAGTTTCCTAGTGTTCGGGTACTATGTCACGGCATTCTCGAGCTCGAAGATTGGAGCGCAGTGCTTCAAGTATCAGCGGGGCAAACGTGGATAGACAAGAGTGACACACCTGCTGCCGCTATCGTCTCCAGGCCCTTCCGCAATTAAGGGCCCTCAGGGGCCTTGTAATGGGCCTACTTTGGCTCACTACTTTAGCTTACACGTGTACGCGTGTATGTGAGGAAGCGTAGCTTAGTTTAACTTAGAGTTAATTATACTCGGGCCTCCGAGTATAGATTAATCTAAATAAACGATCCAAATAATGATTTTGGGTTAAAATGAGAACTGCTATTTTTGTTTTATGTTTCTGACTTCCTCTAAATGTAATATTCTAAACTGGGAATCTGCCAACGGCTGGTTGGCAGAATTCCAACGCTATGCATGTCGCTCATTGGCTAAAAGATGCTGCTCTCAGCCAATAGGAATCCTAAGTCTCTATGGACCACCCGTCGTGGCGGTCGTAAATGTATGTAGCCTTTGGTGTGTCAACACCAAGGTCGAGAAAGTCTTTCGAACCTCTAACAGACGTCGTGTCTGTTAGAGTTACAAGTGCCTGTGGCCACTTGTGCGTGTAACCCTGTTACACCATCCCCCCTCAAGGTTTGACGCGCCGAGTCACGGCACGTCAATCAGGAAATTGACCATTCGTCAATTCTTCACGTTGGGAGAAAGAAAACTCGAGCTCATTCCGCAATGAGCTCGCCTCAGAAGAAGACCGACGCTGCAGCAGAGGAGAAGTCCTCTGCCGGGATAGAGACTCTCTCTATCCCCCAGTATCGCGAGCGTCACAAAGCAAAGCGTGACGCTCTTGCTGCCAAGGCTGCGGCGGGGACAACTCAGCCAGAGATTGTCCTCGAAGGTTCTTCTGTAGTCAACGATGCCGTTGACTTCGAGGACGACTACGTGGAGATGGTGACTATAGCCACTTGTGCGTGTAACCCTTGTTGGGTTTCGGACACAAACTGTACGTGGCTTCGGTGTAACAGCGGCAAAACATGCTGTTTGGGTAAGTAAGCTGGCTGAACACAGTGAGCACGGCCGACCGGATGTTAGGAGACGCATGTGGGCGTGAATGTAATTGACCAGACGTTCCGGGAACATGCGCAACGATGGGGATTTCGTGTGGGATCGCAGTATCTGTCGTTATCACTTCGGAGACTGGCACAAGACAGTCAAGGGGGTACAGCTATCCTTATCTATCCCCCACGGCGCCTTCTCAGATCCAAATGCGCTGTGGAGAGATAAATGGTCGTCCCGACTCGTCGCCATCACGGGTACCTTCGGCAGTCAACGTGCCCCTTTGGTAAACATCTACGCACCGACTGACCGAGACGAACGTGAACAGTTCTTTGGGAGGTGCTGCAGCTTTCGTGCGCGATGGCTATATCGGCGTTCTTAGAGGAGACTTTAACTGCACTCTTGAACCAGTTTTGGACCGCGCGTACCGCCATCTACCAAGCACACATGACTCTCCGGCTCTCAGAAAGCTCCTCAAGCACTGGGGCCTATCCGACTGCCTGCGATTGGCAATGCCGGCGCACACTGATCCCGCACGGACCAACGCCCTCCATCACGCGTATCACACCTACATATACATTGTGGAGGGTGGAGTTGCCACAAGCAAAATCGATCGCTGTACGGCTCTGCGCCTGCGTTACGGTGGTACCCACCGTTACAATGGGTCGCTGAGTGATCATGATAGAGTGTTGCTGCACCTACGTCCACCGTCCAATCCTGTGCGACTAGATAAAAATGACCGTATTTACCCGGTGCCGGCATACGGTTGATGCCTCCGTTCACGGCACCATAGATCTGTGATTGGCTCGCGGATGGAGATCACAGCTCTACCGACACAGCACGCGCGTGGGATATGCTCAAGCAGGGCGTTCGTGCTGGATGCTTGCGTTCCAAGCGGATCACCCGCCGGAAACACTCTCGAACATACCGCCAAAAATGCCGTCGATTATTACGGCAGCTCTCCAAGGCAAAGAAGCAAACGATTGACTCGGTGGAGAATGTTGCTATTATGTTGGAGGGTCATCCATGGGATCTTGGTGAGTATGTCTCTTGCTCAGCGCCTGCATCGTCGCATCGCTGAACCTGAGCCAGCTCGAGCTTCGCGCAAGACCCAACGGCGATTTCGCGAGCACACATGGGATGAGGCTCAGTCGCCTCGTTCGTTATTCCAGTGTAGTACTTACAAAGGGTTTTATTAGAACAAAATGCTTTAACAAGGTGATTACCCTTTACATGTTTGGTCGAGTTGTTGGCAACCCTATCCAAAATAGTCTGCGACCAGGATGTCCCCATGTTTGTGAATGCAATAAGACTGGGTGCAGCTGGACCGATGCGCTCTCTTGTACATGCAGGTTCCGCATAGCCGGGAGGACCGGGAATTCTGAATTTGTGCTGGAATGTAGTAGATCAGTGAACGATGTCGGTGGTCTTGGTGCCGGGGGAGGTCTCACACTGGGTTGTTAAGATCAACACGCTCGCTATAAGTTTGTTTGCGTGCTGTTCCCGATACAGCGCGGATTTTGCTTCTGAATTTTTCTACGCTTAGTTAGTTTGGCCTGGTGGAACGGGTTCTAATATTATCAAAGCAGATTCCTTTAAGTGTCCGCGCCGTTTATCAGAGCTTGTGGAATTGCTGAACCCGCAACTTTGCCTTTCGCTCCGACTGGATAATTGCGATAGGTGAGGCGAGGCCGATGAAACCTTTATCGCCCAGGGGGGTTCGTATAGCGCAGCCCAAGACGGAATCTCAGTGTGTAGACCCAGAGAATCGACTTGAGAGTCAACGGCGAGAAGGTAGACCCAGAGATTCGCAGCCGCAAAGCTTTAAATCCTGGAAATCACACTCCTTGGTTGGCGTGGGTACCTTGTGTAATCCCTGTCGGCTCTTTTGTCTTCGATGGAACGGCACTCCACCGGTCGTAAATGTAGCCTCGAAGAAGTGCGGAAGTGCACGTCTAATTCAGAACGCACCTCCACACCAAAGACAAACCCAGAGAATCAGATCCCCCAAAACCCAGAATATCACGTATTCAGGGTCCAGGATTTCAGTCAACTCCGGGACTTGGAACTCAGAAGATACCTTACCCAAATGCCCTCCTAGCGCGATAAAACCAACAAATACAGAGTATACAAACACTACAACTAGCCGTCACTTATTCTTTTGGACCCTTGGACGGTGGGTCACAATCACACTAGGCTCACTCGAGTCTGAAATTCAGGGGCCTAGCTCCCCTGAGACTCACACAAACGCGCACCACCCCCAATAAAGGAGGAAAATGCAATCACTACCGGTTACCTTCCCTTCACACAAGCGGTCTATACAAACCCTGGAGACAACTACCTAGCACCCGAGAATACCCTCTGAAATAATATGAAATGGGCTACCACGAGCACAGCAAGTGACCCAACTAGGATATGGAATAGATGGATCACTCCAGGAAGCTCAAGGCCGTCGCTGGTCCCCACCTAACTGGACTTGAGTTGATGGAGTCCACACAGACGGCTGTCCTTCGCCGTTGATGTGACCTTAGCGTCCTGTCTAGGGTCCTCCGGATTTCCGTCGGCAGGCTTGGCCGAAGTCACTTGCGCAGTACAGGGAAAATTAAACTCTGTTTGTCTTTTATCAGCTACTTCTCTCTCTCTTACTTGTTTCTCTTCTGCATTCTTCTTCGGGGAAATATCTTCTGTTCACTGTGCTTGGGGTCAAATGTCTTGTCTTGAGTATACCTTGGGTTCAGCGGTCCAAACTTGCGATCGACTTGCGATTCCATTGTCGCACGGCGTCGAAAGTGCCAAATGTGGGTCCTTGGACTTGGTCTAGTATGGTGCAGGACTCCCTCTCGACTCCTCGAAAGTATCCAGTCTGTGCATCCATGACGGTTCTTCAAGGTCACGCATCATTTGATTGCAGACTGGCTTCGAACTGACTCGAATCCCTGAAAACCAGGTGACACTCAGGGTCATCTTCTGAAATCCTGGGAATTCTGAGGAATCGTGGGGAACTGTGGGGATTCTTGGGTGTTGGCTCGGGAAACACTTAAGTTCAGTATAGAGAGTCTGGATTTATGGTCCAAACCCAGAGAATCATATTTGGAACTCTGGGTCACCTGCACTCAGGGAGGTGAACTCTGGGTCATCGTGCGGCACTCTGGGTAACAAGTCTGCTACGTCACAGACTCACGTGTATCTCCACAAATTCAAGTTTTTAGCGGGTTTAGCGGCCTCCTGCGCATGATCGTGGTGGTAGGGGGTTGATGCGCAGGGTAATTTGATCCTCTGGGGCACTCCGAGCCACAGCAAGATATGGTGTACTCTGGGATACTTTCGCCAGAGACACTTTCCGCCAGACTTTAGGCACTCATCGTAAGGGAAAGTCCGCGGCTGGACTGAGTGTTCTTCTGAAATCCTGGGCGTGTACTCCCAGGATTCACACTTCCAGCCAGTTCGGCCCATCTGGGGTCAGGCGCTGGATTCATCCCGAGAAATCACTTCTCTCCCACAGTCGCCATCCGTGTCACACGGGTACAGCCGCGCCGTATCCAAGTCATCCACCAATCAGCATCCGATACAAACTCCAAGTCACAGAGGTGACGGCACATCTTCGACAAATTTCTGGGAACCGCCTCGTATCATAGGTCGTGAATACAAGTCTACCGAAGATTCATGTATAACTCTCCATAGTTTCCTTATTAGGCACGACTTGCTGTGCGGACTTCCACAACTCTACGGTTTTGTTTAGCGCATACCGACTTACAAATATCACAACAAAATCGCGTATCGTTCGTCGTGATGTTTAGGCGAGATTTTGCCAACGTCACGTTCAACTGCAAGGCTGAATACATTTCTACCACCAGGGGAGGAGCTTCTTGAAAGCTGTACGAAAGCCCCCGCACAAGGCCACCTTTACACTTTGAATGCGTACCCTATACAGGTGAAGTGTCGCGGTAGCCAAAGGGCAGGTAATAGCACCGGTTTCTCCTGATACTTCCACCAATGGTTTCCACACTGGGAGTCCCGATCTTATTACTACGCTCTTCAAAGTCGACTTCCGTTGGAGAGGCAACGCAATCGTAGCAGATCTCTATTAATTGGTCTGTTGCAACGGTGTACTTGGCTTGGCCAAGAACAGGTGATGCAAACTGGTCCTAGTCCTCGCTAAGACATTTCGATTCATGTGTGTACGAGCGATGACATATAAGGAAATTTGAGGTCAAGCGCGCCCATGTAGACTACTGCACGGTCTGCTTAGATGTCTAAGATATTCCATATGATTCCATCATTCCTTTGAGTTGCTCCATCACCCAGATAAAAGACTTCCTCTTTCTCTCCTGGAAGCCAACACTGCGCGACGAGTAGAACAGTGTTTATCTTTGTCATTGTGATGGTGTTCAATAACGGAAGGTCGTACCCGCTGGTCTTATATGTGCACGCGAGGATCAACATGTTGCTATTCCATGTGTAGAAATCTTTTATTTCAGGGTGGGATCAAACAGGTAGCCCAGTTTAGACATATCAGGAATAACGTCTACCTGGAGAAAAACCTGTGATTCCCGGTTATTTTCACAGGGTTTCTGTTGATGTGCTGTCGGACAACAATTCTCGCCGTTCTGCTCCCTTCGTATTTGAAACAGCTTTCACTATGATTGACGTTCTGGGGTCAGCGTGGCCAAGGGTAGCCACGTTCACCTATGGTGCAATCTTAACTACTGTTGGGGGCGCAACTAAGTCAGTAGTACTCTATCAATGTACCCTGAGTCGCAACATATCACGCTTCCTGTGACCCGGGTAAATACTGAAATCTTAGGATGGAGGGCGTCCATGACGAAGCGAATCTACCATGTGCACCACCTTTCACTGCTCATAAGTGCTTTGCTAGACTACGGTCTTCAATCGAGTTTTCACCTGACAGCCGATCTTACTGGTTCCGCGGTTGGGTCGCGCAGATTACTCGCCACAAAAGCCACGGTAGGTTTGAGTACTTTAGTTTCGGTCACAATTGAAGTCACGCTGACCTACGGCCCCAGCTCGGTTCTTTCTGTGGTGGGCCTTGGCGACATCGACACCCTGTTTGGGATTCCAGGCGTAAAGGACTCAGTCGTATTCTGCCTTAAGACCCGTAGACAGTCTTAGGAAATGGGGGTATCGGAAAGCGATCAGAGGGTTCATGAGTGGTAGTTCTCTATTATCGCGGAATCTGGACGAATGGCCATTCCCACAGCAACTACCGGGACTATTTTAAGGCCACTCAGAAAAAAGTATTTATATACCGACTATTTTAAAATGGGCCGATGGCTGCTACTGTATGTCTGCAGAACTGTATTTCTAATCGGACACTGTTTACGTGTTACTCACCTTCGATCTCCGTAACCTCCATCTCCGTATAAGTTTCATTTTGTAAAAAAGATATTAATAATATATTCTAAATGACTTTTATCAATTATACATTTTATAGTAGTTTTTAGGGCGGTTTGGGGTCCGTAATTTAAAACTAATTCGGTTTGGGGTCCGTTCAAATCAGAAGGCGTAATCTTTGGCGTAAAATTGAAAACCTACCGTGTTTTGAAAATTTCCAAGAGGGTATGTGTACTTATGATTATGAAATGTACCTTATTCGAACCCTATGGCCTTACCGTACACAGTACCTTCCCGTAAGTTGTGCCCCGTATGTATCCTATGACTAAAACGTAACGGATAGCCTACAGAATCGGACTTAGTTGAGAAGTCTAATCTCACTTGCCATACCTTGCTTTCGCCTTTTGATATTGCATTGGTGGACCGCTAGCGGCGTGCTGCATATGCGTAGAGTGCTTGGTGAGCTGGGCGGAGACACCACAAGAGTCGCAATCTCTTCTTCCTCAAAAAAAAAACCTTTGACTCTCTATCTACTCACGCCTCCCTTATCGGCAGGGCGAAGATTTTCGTCCGTTAACACTGCGCTTCTATGTCCATTTCTATTTCTATTACTAATTTACAGGATTGGACGGCTGAGGTTATCTTAGTTTAGACCCCCCCCTGCAGAGACAACAAAAGAATCAGCTTCCGGCGCAAGTTCCTGTCCAAACAACGCTCGTCGGTGCTGTTGCCACCGACGATTATTTTGTAAGTACGCATCGCATTGCCCCCCCTTCTTCGTTTGTCCATGTAGTTGCTCTGATGGCTGAGGTTTCAGGCGAACAGGTTCTGCAGATTCCAAGGAGGATTGCCTGCGGTACAACAGCTGTGTGGACGGCTGGACAAGAGGGCGGTGTCAGAGGACTAGGGGCCCAAGTGCATGAGAAAGGAGCACGGTGACATTCATATCTTCATGCATCACAGGAGCAGCAAGTATCAATCGCTAGGTTCGGTAGACACGTCGAGATGTTCCATGCGGTGCGTTAATTGCAATAATATACATGCTACATCACAATATAGATCGCACACAGGGTGCATATCGGTAATAGGGGGTGTACGATACAGTATTGTTGTGCATTAGCCGTATATTGTTTTCAAAACACGGTAGGTTTTCAATTTTACGCCAAAGATTACGCCTTCTGATTTGAACGGACCCCAAACCGAATTAGTTTTAAATTACGGACCCCAAACTGGATTTCCCCTAGGTTTTACCTGATTTACATTTTGGTGTTACTAACGTAAGATGTTGGACTCGTCTATGTATATGTGTGAGATTAGAGTACTCGCCCCAAGTCTCAAACGGACGCAGTTCTCTACAAAATCGGTATAATTTGCATAGACAGGACAGCCTGAATTCGCGTGTAGCGGTCCCATTGCTAATCTCACTGCGATGCATATATATGCAGAGATCTGAGTTACCCTTTAACGCCCCCCCCCTTCCCTCCACACCCACCCAGACGCCCCCTCAATATCGGGCTTGGGTACTCTGCAAACTTGTCCAGGCCTGCCACGGATAAACATTCATCCCAGGTTACTTTAGGATCCTCAAAGCGGCTTGTTTTAGGCATTCACGATCCCAAAATCATTGATCTAGGATTCTTCATGCCCAAAAGAGCCCATTTTCGGCCGTTCCTCTCGCTGGTTTGTGTGTAGGGGTCCAGGAAATCACAAGCTACAAAGCTGAACAATTGGTAGATTACGTTTTTTGTGAAGTAGCGCCCTTATGGAAAACCGCAAGTTTGTCCTCGAACAAAGTCGCGTCCAATTCGTGATCGCGTCGAACTAGTTCCCGGTATTGTAAGTAGCGTATCTTCATAATACTGGCCCAAGTATTTGCAGGATTTTGAGTGTGTGTTGGGGGGATAGGTATGTTCTTGTCGTAGGGTGCCGGTTGCTGCTTGGAAGCGTGGAGTTATCGGACCGGCGTTTCGAGGGCTAGTACATAGCTTTATCGAACCGACGCGGGTCTTGTACACGGCTATCGGATCAGTATTGGATCAGTGCATCTTTCGTCTTGGTGGCGCGCTATCAGCCCCCCCCCAAACGGTATGCGTTTAATGTGCCTTCGTTCTGAGCGCTGCGGGGTCGCGTTATATGGGGTGTGGCGACTTGCCGGTGCTTGGTGGATCATCTGGGAGCTTGGATAACCCGGGATGGCATTGTGTTTCAGAGAAACGTTGGGACTAGGTCCTAACCCTACTCTATCTCCTTGGTACTCACTATTCCCTACTACGGCTCGCTAAGCCCATCGTTTCTTGTCTGCCTCTATCTGACGTGCCTACTTTCGCTGTCCTTCAACCTGATTTGGTGACCGTAATTGTGGAGAAGCGTGTAACAAGATTTGGGCTCCGAGAATGGCGACAATACCGATCAACAGAAAAATCAAGGGCGATTGAAAATCGAGAGAAAGGCATCAGGGATAAGGTTGGGACTGCGCAGATCGGATGGAATTGACGAGGATCTAAGCGATCCGATGATGGGTCAACGTATATTCGACCAGAATATCGCCCCTTTTTCGAACACTTCGCTAGTGTCAGCTATTTTGCGTATCTCCCGCTGTACTTCTGGCAGCAGGTGCTGCATGAAACGAACGGATAACATTGATCACATCAAGATCACAAAAAACAAATCACGATGAGTAAATTGATGACTTTCCTAGGCATATTAATCTTCATGGTCTAAACGACACAGGAGAGTATGCAAACTACTGGGGGTCCCTAAAGATGGAATTTTTGGCAGAACAACAGCGTCATTAGACGATGTTATGCGGCTGAACCGGTCCAAACTACTACAGTGATGTTTTGCTTCAACGCGACTCCAACAAACCTTGCTCAGGATGTTGCCGCCCGGATTCGACCTCTCCTGAACTTATTTAAGGTTACCGGCGACAAGTACGTTGTCGTAGGGAGAGCCGTGGCATGGCGTTCGCGGCAGGACTGCCACATTATCGATTGTCAACCCGACTAAACCCACTGGCCATTTCAGGCTCTACATGGTATGGTTCTCCTCAACTTGGATTGCGCTACGTTATAAGCTGCTCTGCAATCGCAACAGCATTGTAGGCGGTTTTCGGCACCGAGGAGGTACGTGCGCTGAGCCAGGAGCTCAAAGAGGGATCGAAAATCCGCCAGCATGTTCTCGAAGTGGTGCAGCCAATTTTCGGCTCAAACCGAGTGGGCATTATGAACAACTACCATGCACCTGTGCAACTACTACAGGGCCTACGCCTGAAGGATTGTACGCGCACGGTACCATCCACATGAACAGCAAGCCCTTTTCAGCCACACCATGCTCGACAAAGATGACAAGTGTGCACCCGGTGATATGCGTCAGGCAGTGTCCCGAGAGCATGTAATGGTAGCGGCGTCCAATGCGGATGTCTTCACAGTGTCAACAGTGTGTCAGCAGTAGTACCTACAGTTAGAAGGGTGGCCCAAGAATTCCCAGCACCTAGGTTTGTCAAGGAGTACAGCCGCAACATGCAAGGGGTGGACAAATTGAACCAGCTGTTAGAACTTTTTTTTCTTCATTACAGACGACCATAGCTTCAAGTGGTGGCATAAGTAACTTGCTCTCGCCCTGATCGACATTGCCCGGTCAAATGCTTTCCTGACCAGGCGCTTGGCCACGCCGGAATCCACCGCGCGCGGGCCTCACGTAACATTTATGACGGAATTAGTTGGTGAACTCATTGATGGGTAGTGTGCATGCCCCAAGCCAAGGCCGTATGTTCTCTACGGCCGCAGTACCCCCGACGAGTCTTACGCTACAGCCCCCGTAGCGACTCCGTCACATCTACACGGTGGTCAAGTAACAGCGAGCACAAAAATATTGTGCTCATCAGTGTCGTCAAGACAGGTTTACGCTGACAAGCAGAGTAACCGAAGACGCTGTATTGTATACCGCTGGATGGGACGATACCAGACTGAGACTACTGCCATACACATTCCGTGTCCGTCTGTAGCGTAGTCACCCGAAGATCAGAGCTATGGTGCTGTCCAAATGTAACGTGGACCTGTTGGCAGAAGTTCCACAACTCCAACCTGCCGGTCGGACTCTTTATAGTGAAAGGTAATCTGGGAAGGAAATCAAAACCTGCGCTGCTCCGAATCCCGATGGCGACGCGACGACCTCTACAACAGTACCGGCCATTACGGAGTACCTCAACTCAATGACGAGTCACAGGTCGCATCCACTCGTACCAATGGAGGTCGAGTCTGATGAGGACACAGCATAAGCGCTGATTACCTGGAGGAGCGAGGGAACTCGTCACCGAACGCTAGAGTACTTACAACAATCACGGACATTTTGCAATCAAGACCTGCCACCCCTCCACGGAGCTCCACGACCCTCCGATAGCGAGACCTGCTCCACTACCAGTGGCGACAGTAGCCCCTCAACTGACAGCAGCAGCACCGATTCCACTAGCAGTGTTATCTCCTAGCGCAAGAGCTGCGTCGGTTGTGACGAGCTCAGTGAAACCGTTTACGTCTAGGTGTAAAGCGATAGCATCGTTAGGCTTTGTGTAAAGGTATCTCTCTCGTAGCGTTCTTCACCAGGCGTCGCGAATATCTCGACTTGAGTATACTGGAACTGCTGACGCTGGATTCTTTCCCAGCTTCAATCTGCCCGTGTCATTGTGCACGATTGGTTCTTGGAAGACCTTGGCCGCATGCGACCAAGGTTCCCTTCACCCCAACCCTTGAAACATGGTTTCAGAGTCAGCAGGCCTGAACGCAGTGCGTCCAAGGTCTGTGACCAAAGGCAACTTGCGCCCAAGACTGAAACCATACTCAAGGCCTTGCGGCCAAGAGTAGGTTGACTCTTCACCTAGTTGTGGGGAACTTGGCAGGACTTCATCCAGGTGGCCAGCGGTCTGGCCACCATGTACGCGACTTCACTGGGGTGGCTGAGCTCCGGGTACACGAATTCGATGTGCGTTCAGGGCCTAGGCGAGGCGAGACACCATACACGATCGTGCAGGCGTTTTTGACGGCCTCAACCCGCTTAAGGACGGGGGTGGCCTGCACGGATCTAGTTCGTTCAGGGTTACTCATCTCCTTCCAGGCCTGAAGGGCCCATCCTAGGCTTGAGCGCACTTCGCTCCGCGGAACACAGGTGAATTCCAGCTCAGATCGTGGCGCACGGTGCGCAGCCGGGTTCGGGTTCGGACTCGGCTAATCAGAGTAGCGGATTCAATCGAGTCAGTAGACAGGTGATGAGCGGTTAAGGTAAAACCTCGTTCAGTCTAGTTACACGGTGAGCCCAACTCCAGCAGCAACGGCAGCGATAGCTTCATCAACGCCGTCATTAACTGAAGGAGCTCTTGTGCCAGGTACCGGATGGTTGTCGCCGACGGGTCCACGCCAAAGAACGACGTCGGCACTACCAACAACCTCAACAGCACGAACTACGTGTAACCGGAGAACCGCGTCTTCGCCGGGGCGAGCACTGCGGAAGTCTATGAAATGCGGTTCCATTGTCGCCGAACAACGGCATGACCAAGGTCAGCAGTGCGTCGCCGGCTACTGTTGTAAGTGTACCCGAATGCCTGCATCGAGGCGGATTTTGGTGACCTGTTTGACCTGCGCTATGGACGTGTTGGTCACTGTTTTAGAGAGGAACTGGGCTAAATGCTGTATTTTGGCCACCTCTATGGACTGAGCGCGCTTCCGGCAACAATTGCTGGTATGTTCGAAAGCCTCCATTTTAGCGCATATTTTAAGGCGAATTCACTCTCAATATTGATATTTCTATCGCTGTTTTAGAATTAAATGGAGCTGAATGCAGCTTTACGGGGTATTTCTATATATATTACAGGGCGGATGCACGTGCATGCGGGGGTCCCGGGGGCCCCACAGCGGTAGGTATTTTAGGTATCCGGGGGTCCCGCTGCCATGTATCCGAGGTCCCAGTGCCCAAATTAAATTATTATAGGTAACGACAATGTAATAATATGTACCCCGATTTAGTGACATGTTACTAAACGGAGGTAAAATTGGTAACTTTTGTCTTATTATAATTAATAAACTACCAACATTGATAAATCAGTTATGATAGTAAATATAGAATCAAAGATATCCGTTTTCCAGGGATTTTTAACCGCTCTAGTTTACCGTAAACCACTTATTGAATGCAACACCCGAAAAAAGTTCTCGTCCTATATAAATTGTTGGCAAATTCTGAGTTTTTACCGCGTAAAAACTAAATGTGACCAGTTTGGGCATAATTTGGGGATTTGAAAAAAAGAGCAGCCTTTTCCATACAAATCTCAATTTAAAGATGGTGTGTCATGCGAGTGTATCTAATCTGTGCACTGTCTATAGTCGAGTCCTGACAGCTTTTACGGTGTTGCATTCAAGCCGTGGTTTACAGTACGGTTCTGGGACCTAAAAATCTGGACATATAAGTTTTCGTATACGGGGAACTCAGTTGTTTTGCTCCCAAGTGTCAGAGACGGAACAAATAGATAGAAATAAGATCGGAGTCAATTTTAATTACGAAGACGTGAAAACATGGGCGTAGGGTTTAGGGTTTTCAATGGTACTACTGGCATCTGTCAGAGTCGGGTCAGTTATCCATTATTTGATAGCTGCTAGTTTCGGGCATACAACAGTTACGCTTTGGAAGTCGCCAGTTTATCCGTATAGAATACATGTGTAGTAGAATATGAGAAGTGGTGAACGTAATAGTACATGAAGAATATGTGGCAGTATTCATTGTGTAAGTATAAGTTGATAGGTAGCAGTGTTAACAAACCAAATCATCTACCTTTTAGTCGATAATATACCAAATTATGTACAATATTCCAAAATATCTACTCAAATGTAATTTAGTTTAGGTATGCTGAAGTATATAGTTAGAAGTATATTATAGTTCATTATTTATAGTGGAGTGAGTGATTGCGGAAGATAGTATGGAATGTGTAAATGAGGTGGATATATGTGGTAGATTGGTGGGTATGTGGTGGGAAGTGATTGTTTTGGTTGGGGTGTGTGGACAATGAAGAGAAGTAGATTGTAAGGTAGAAAGAAGGAGGGAGTTGGATGGAGTTGATTCGTGTAAAAAGGTAGAGTTTCAAAACGATGCGTCTGATAGAATATATGTGGTTGATTGGTGGGAACAAAGTTAAAGTTAAAAGAATGGTTTGTAAGAGTTCATGTAGGTGGTGGTGAGAAATAGATTGTTGGATTGGAAAGAGAAAAGTGGTAGTTAAATGGGAGTGGTTGATAGGAAAATGGGTTGCTTGATAGGAAAATGGTGTGGGGTGCACAAATCAGATGTGTGTAGAGGATTAAAGTGGTTGTTTGGTGGACATGAGGTTGTAGAATGATGTTTAAGTTGGGGGTTAAGATTGAAATTGGCACTGAGAAACGGAGTGTAGGTTAAAGAAAAAAGGAGTGGTTGTTTGGATGTAATTAAAAGCAATAAAAGCTGAAGTGGGTAAACAAGGTGTGTGGCAAAATATAGACGTGGCTGGACAGTATATTATATGTAATAGTATGGGGGGAAGCAAACGAAGTTGGGCGAGAATATCATTGTGGTGATAAGTGGATTGAAGGATAGGGAAAAGAAAGGCGATGTTTGGATAGATAGGGTGGATAAGAAATGACAAGTGGATAGTGAGATTGGAAAAAGGAGTGTAGAGATGGTAGAAGAAAGTGTGTTGTAGGATGAAGAGAAATGGTTTGTGGTTGATTTGAGGTAGTTGATGTTGAATTAGGTATGTGATGCGCGATTGGGGTGTGGGAAGTATGTTTGCGATGGTAGAACGGTGGATATGAAGTAAAACGTGGGTAAATGCGGTTGGAAAGTGAGAGTGGAGGTGACAGATAAGGTGGGTTGTTAATTAAAAAGAAGAGAAAGTGGTGGTGGTTGAATGGGGGTAGTGGGTGTGGAAATAGGTAGGGATATGATAATATGTGTGTGAAAATGTCAAAATGAGGTGTATGAAGTAGAAGTGATGTATTTGGTTGGACGTGAATAATACAGTAGGGAATGTGGATGGTGGTAAAATCGGATATAGAAAAAGATAGATGTTGTTGAATTGTGGAAATAAGATGAAGGGTGGAAAGATGTGATTAAATGGTGGATATGAGGTGAAATGTGAATAACGAGGTTAAGAAATGATAGTAACGGTGGTAGATAAAAGTGATTGTATGATGAAGCGAAAGGAGTATGTAGTTGAATGAAGTCAGTTAATGCTGAATTAGGTGTGGTGTGTGTGAATAGTGTGGGTAAGAGCGATGTCCAAATAAAAAAAACACTTGTTTATTCAAGCCAAATTGTTTTCGGAATGTTGCACGAAGGAGAAAGTGGGTACCCTTTTGCAGGTTTATAACTCGGTGAAAAGAAATTGGTGTGGTACCAATTTATATATAGTGGAGCTAGTTTATTTCAAAGATCCACTCACCCAGAGCGCGATGGCGAGGAGGGCCCCAGGCAGCGACGTGGGGCATGGTAACGCCGCGATGACCGTCTCCGGTAGTACTGCTGCCCATGACGTGCCTGTTGACGATGGGGAGGAGCGCGCAGCGGTGCCAGAAGGCATCCAATGTGCGTATCATGTTGAGTGTGCGTCGTTTTAACATATCTGATGATGGACTCTCTGTGAACGTTTTGAGCAGCATTACAGACTCAATGGTTCGCTAGCACTGCGCCCCACTTGAGTGAAGAAGAGGTCAACGAAGAAGAATTGCTGCTACTGTGGTCGCAGTGGTGGTTGTGCTGAGTCAGCTAGACGGAAGGTCAATTCGACGCCCCCCAGGAGAAGTCGTCGTCGTTCACTCTAACTTCTTCTCGCGTCTAAAGGCCAATCGCTCCTTGAAAGCGTATCGCCGGACGGTTCGTTGTTCGCCTGAGACCTTTGACACGCTCCAGGCGTTACTGGAGCCTCTGTACTACCGCAAGTACGGGCTCCCCGGTAAAAACACGCAGTACACCTTCGACTACGGGCTAGCTGTGCTGTTGATCTACTATGGTAATGGCTGTGGCCAAGATGGGGACGGTATTGGAGGAGCTGCAAACCAGTTGGGGATGTCAAGAACAGCAGCACTTCGATACATTCAGAACCTGGAGGAGCTTTTGTACGGTATGATGAATGATATCATCTACTTCCCGGCACCTACAGCGGATGCAGAGTGGGATGACATGGTCGATGCTTTGCCGCACGTGGCGGAAATTTTCCAGACGTGGCGTGTATTTTTGACGGGACTATAATTCGTACTCGACGTCCAAACGAGCACTTGGTACGATTTAATTTTTTTTTATTTTGTCCAATGTCTGGCTAATCGTTTTGAATGTGTGGCTAACCGCTTTGACTGATAGGGGTTTTATGATAAGAGCGGGAAGCCTTCATATAACTGTCTTGCTGCGATAGATTACCGCAACAAGTTCCGCTACATCGGCGTATTCAGCGGAAGTAACTCCGATCAATACATGTGGAATTAATCGGAGGTTCTTGGAGCTCGTGACCGGCATCTGTGCCCACCGGGGGTGAACTGGCTGGGAGACTCTGGATTCAAGATCTGACCGTTCCTGATGGTGCCTTACGATGAACGAAAAGGCAAGCACTTGACCCGCAAGCAGCGTTGGTGAGTAATAGTACAAACTTTGTGTATCTGTCTATTTATTGCTCAGATATGTTGTAACATTTCGTTTTCTTTCTTTACAGCTACAACTATCATCTATTCCCCACTAGGATTCACGTCGAATGTGTATTCAGCAAGCTGAAAGCTCGCTTTAAGGTGATTCATGGTGTCATGGATCGGCGCTCATATACCGTGAATGCTCGTATGACCTGTGTCGCTGCTGTTCTACACAATCTGCTGGTGGATATCGGTGACAAAGAGGAATTTGACTATACACGGAACGATGACGAGCGCGAACAGGCAAGAGTAGTGATGAACGCATACAATCCAAACTGGGATAGAACTCAGGCTGAGGTCGAGCTAGCGGAACGTAAGTGATATTCCTACGCGAGCTATTTCTACCGCTACGATACCGAAGAATAAAAAGCGGGGCGTAAACCTCGACGACTGCGTCGTTACGCTGCGTTTGGCCCCTTCAATTGCTTCATCATTTCCGTGAAGAGGCCAACGGTCGTTTGCTGGAGGGAAGCAATACCCTGACAAATGGTTTGGGATGATTCCTGTTGTTGCGCGTTTGATGCACTGATAGCCGACGTTAGGTTTTCGACGAGCAGGGCCATGTTGGGGTCGATTTGGCTCGAGAGTCGGCTTTCAAATATGCGTCCAAACGTGGTGAAGCCATCACGAAGCGTGTCGTTCAGTAATTCAACTGGTCGCTTGGACTCCACGCTCGCATGCTGCTGCTGTGCCTGAGCCTGCTTCTGTTTCTTGGCTTTTGCGGCGGCTTTCGCTCTTTCGCGAGCCTCACTGGGGGTGTCCGAACATTCATCGTCGCTGTTGACCTCCGAGTCGCTGGACGCGTCATCTACATGTTCATCACTGTCACTTGCATTGGGGCCGGATTCGATGATTGCCTCTCCAGTAAGGCCTGGCTTGCTGGAGAAGATGTCACACAGCAGAGACCATAACGCAGCTAGCTCATCTCCGAGCTCTTTGCGATATTTGGGGCGGACATTCAACGGGTCACACGTGAGCCGGATACGACCAGCGTCATCGACAGCTTCATCACTGTCTAGCAAATAGTTTGATGGCAGTTCTGGATGCGATCGCCCCCCGCGTGAGCCTTCGTCGCTGTCACCTTCACCCCCGCTGAATGTATCCATCGCACGGTTTCCAGTGGCCAGCATGCGGGTCCGCTTCGCTCTGTAAGCCTTTCGGATAGCATTCAGCTTGTTCTTGAACTGAGAGACGGAGACATCACGTCCCTCTTCACCGTCACCCCAAGCTCCTTCAATCAGCGCGCGCTCTAGGAAAACAGTCACGGTGTCTTCCCATGTGGCACGGATCTTCTTGGTGTCGGATGTCTTCTTGGCGATTTTTTTCAAGATTCTGGGGTTCTTGAAGCGAGTTTCCAACGCCAATCGTGTCAGTGGCACCGTCCAACGCATGCTTTTGGTGTCTGGAGCAGTTTTACCGCGGCTTCCTTTGCCCTTCTTGGGCTTGGAGGTCAAGGTCGGCTTGGTAGTCTTCGTTGCTGCCTTCTTCTTGGCTCTGGCGGGCTTCTTGGACGGACTGGTACGGGTTTCAGCGCTTGGCGAGCTTGGTTCTTGCCTTACAGTGGTTGACGAGTCGACATTCTGTCCACCACTGCTACACCGAGCCTTCTTGTGGGGCGGACTTGCAGTGGTATCGTCCGAAGTCGAAGTTTCCGTCGGTGTTCCCTCGTCCATCCTGCTGGACCAGGCCGGCTGGATTGATGTAGCGATTGGCGAGTTTCCTGGGCTGCCGAGGATCGTGAGCACTACGACTGATGATCGCGGCCTGCAGCGGCGGCCTTGTCGTAGTTGCCTCAGAGGCAGCGAGTGCGGAAACCTTAGACGGCATCTTGAAGTGGAAGGGAAACAACTGATAGATTGCATATTATTCGATTAGATAGGTTTTCAAAAAAACAGCTGCGCAGTTTGGACATTCCGCCGATTTATTCTAGCCGATTTATTTTTGTCGTGAAAAACCACAGGTCCAAATAATCGATCGACGTTTTACTTGGACATCGCACTAAGTTGAGTAGAGGTGGATGAATGGTGGATGTGAAGTGTAAAGTTGATATTGAGGTTATAAATGAGAGGGGGGTGGTGGAGAAAAGTGGGTTGTAGGATGAACAAAAAGGGGGTGGTAGTTAAATGAAGTTAGTTGATGTGGAATTCGGTATGATGTGTGTAAAGGGTGTGTGTGAAGTGGAAGCGATGTGGGATGATGGTAGATATGAGGTGAAAAGTGGATAATGAGGTTGAAGAATGAGAGTGGAGGTGGGGGAGAAAAGTGGGTTGTAGGATGGAGGGAAGGGGGTTGGTATTTGGATGGATGTAGTAAATAGGGAAGTAAGTATGGTGTGTGCGTAAATGGTGTGTGGGAAGTGAGAGATGTGGGTTGACGGTAGATATGAGGTGAAAAGTGGATAATGAGGTTGAAAAGTGAGGGTGGAGGTTGTGGAGAAAAGTGGGTTGTAGGAAGGAGAGAAGGGGGTTGGGGATTGGATGGATGTAGTAGATGGGAGAGTAGGTATGGTGTGTGGAGAGTAGTTGAATGGTGAATATGAAGTGAAAAGTAGATGATGAGGTTGGGAAATGAGAGTGGAAGTGGTGGGGGGAAGTGGTGGGTTGTAGGATGGAGAGGATATAAAATGAAAAGTGAAAATGAGGTTGGAAAATGAGATGTAAATGGTGGATAATGTTGGATATGTATAAAATCGGTGGTAGTTGAAGTGAGTAAGTTGATATAGAAAAAAATCTGTGAAAAATAGGTGTATGATTAGGAAAGATGTATTTGATTGAAAATGGTGAAGTATAATAAGGGATATGGATAGTAGAGAGAAAGAATAAAAGTAAATCGTGGTAAAAATGGTAAATATTGGTAGAGAGAGAAAAAAGTAAATGGAGGTAAAATGGTAAATGTGAATTGTATTGAAAGGTTAAAGAAAAGAGTGGTTGAAATAATTAGCTTGGTGTGTGATAATAATGAAAGGTTAAAAATAATGTTTAGAAAGAGTAAAATATGGAAATGGGAATTGTATGAAAGGTTAAAGAAAAGAGTGGTTGAATTAAGTAGGTTGATGTGAAAAATATGAAATGATTTAAAATGATGTTTAGAAGAGAGTGAAATGTTAGAAATGGAAAAAAGTGAGAGGTAAGTAAAAAAGGTAAACGAATGAAAGTAAATGGGAGGTAAAAAGGAAGCTTAATAAATAGTTTGAAGAAAAAGGAAAAAATAGGTGGAATTGAAAATATGGGGTTTAGCATAGAGCAGACATTTAAGGAATTTCAGCCAATAGAAAGCTATATTGGCTAAACCAGAGACTTATTGGCTGAAAATTGAGGAGGGTACATTTTTGACGCCGCAGAAATCAGTCGTACCACTGTCGTGTGCCAGAGACGGGCCAGAGAGCCCAAAATAGCAATGGAGCCAATATTGGGTGCCAGGACATGAAAACCTGGACATATAGGTTTTTGTATACGGAGAATTCAGTGGTACCACTCCGATGTGCCAGAGACGAGTCGGTTTTTGTTTACCTGATGTCTGCTTGACAGAGCCATACAATTACCACAATATGGGTGTCGCAATGTTATCAGTAAACAATAAAAGTACTTTCGAATATGTGAAGTGGTGAACATAAAGTACACGGGGCACGTGTAGCATTATACATATTGTAAGTTTAAGTTGTGGACAACAGTGTTTGCAGGCGAAATATCGTGTTTGGAGCAGGTTTGGGCGATTTTGAGTAGATTTTGAAAAGTGTAGAAGTGAGTAGGATGATGCATATTTAGGTTGGGGTAGAATGAAGCTGAAGAATATAGCCGGTAGGGATAGTGTGATAAAGTAGAAAGTGCAGTTGAAAAAAAGGACGAAAGTAGGTGAAAATGAGAAAGAAATAATGTAAAAGGATATAAACAGAGAAATGAAAATATTTAAAATATGTTGTATAATAGTTGTAAATGAAAAATTGAAGAAATAAAGTAAGTAGATATATAAATTATTATAGTGTGTAAGATTGAAGTGATAATATTTTTTTATGACAGTAATAAGGATGATAAAGAAAAAAAGTAAAATAGGTAAGTATAGGAAGAGGGAGAAGGTAATTGAAAAAAAATAATGTGAAAACTAAAGAGATAAGTAAAAAAGAGAAAAAGGTACAGTAAAAAGAGAGGTATTAAAAAAGTAAAAAAGAAAAGAAGAAAAGAGAATTGTGGGTTTCAAGTGGATAAAATAGAAGTATGAGTGGTAGAAAAATGAGTAAAAATTATGTAAAAAAATGTAGTTGTAAAATATTAGAATAATATAGATTGGAGGTAAAAGTTGTGAGTAGGAAAGTATCCGAGTGGTTAAATAAATGGGGATGTAAAAATACCTATATATATATTATGACCCGGATGAACGTTCATCCCAGGGTCCTTTAGGGTGCTTGGGCCGGCTTATTTTAGGTGTTCACGACCCCAATATCATTCATCCAGGGTCCTTCGTGCCCAAATTAGCTTATTTTGGTTGATTTTTTAATTTAGGCTCGGCGTCTGAGGTTCTCTAATAACTGATAGCGACTAAACCCTAAAGCTGATATTTTTTGTAGTACCGTACAGATTATTTAAAATATGTTGATATCAAACTATTCTTATTGGTCCTCTACAATATTTTACTCGTCATATCTAATCATTTTTAATGGCATGTAAGACGCTGTATTTACATGTAACGCGGCTGCCCCGAGAAGCGAGTTTCGACACCACCAGGCGCATCTTCGTCGGAGGAGCGAGCGCGCGTAGGTACCGATCATCACGCCGCGTAACCGCAGCTCGGCCGTACAAAGGCGCGCGTCCTTGGAGGCGCGCCGCATGTGAAGCGCAGCGTCGGCAAACTTAACCCCCCCCTCTCTAAGCAATGTTGGAGGTCTATGGTACAATATGTCTGCATAACGCTTTGCGGTGGCGACATGGTGGCCGCCAGCAGCGACCTGGTGGGGGCCAGCAGCAACATAGATGGATACATTCTACACCCGAGCAAGCGACGCGGTGAGCGGAGCTGACTGCTGTGAACTGGTAGACCTGAGGGTCGATACTGGCAGCGGCAGGCTGCCGATAGCCGCCGTTCTCGGCGGTGTTGGCCGTTCTACTTGATGTATGCAGTGCCTACAAACTATTGCCGGTCGCGTGCGCGGCTCGAAGCGTGCCGGCGGAGCTGGCGGCAGCCGCGAACAACCATTTTTCCACATTTTCATAATCTACGCTTGACTGCATCGAAGGCCTGCTGACACTCAGCAGTCCAAACCCACTCGGCGTCCTTCTTCAGGAGCTGTGACAGCGGGCGTATCATGCCCGCGTAGTCCTTCACGTACT